ATAAAGAAAAAAAAAAAAAAAAAAAAAAAAAAAAACCCCTAAACTGTAAAAAAAATAAAACAAAACAAAAAAAAAAAAAAAAAAACAAAAAAAACAAACAAAAAAAAAAAAAACAGACGTAAAACCATATGGATAAATTATTATAATTAATGGATGAAAGTTATAGTTAAACAGGGATCTAAAATAGATTAAATAATAAAAAAATGTTTTTGCTTTAAAAATAGAGTACAGCGTTTCCAAACGGGTGTGTGTGTGTGCGTGCGAGCGTAGCCTACCTGTGTGTGTGTGTGTGTGTGTGTGTGTGTCCAACTGTTGGGACACGTGCGTCTGCATGAGGACAAATAAACACTCCGGAATGATGAGGAAATTCATAATGAAGTAAACCCAATTCATCCCACTGCCTATTGGCATTAGGTTGGTGACTTTTGCGTTTATGTTACAACAATAAAGATGGGGAATATTCCATATAATGTAGTCTGAGTTCCAACGCGCAGGGGCGAATTCTTCGCAACACCCCCGCTCTGTTTGTACTTGTACACCTATGTCTATAAGGTCACTCTCTGATCTATTTTTTTTTTTGGCATTTTAGCTGGTCATTTATCTCTTGAATAATGATATTCTGTCCATAATTTATATGATTCTAATTACAGTTGAAATCCAGATATTTTTACTGTAAGCGCTTTAGCAAAAAGACAGTAAAATATATATATATATATATTACAAAACGTTACAAAACGTGGCAAATTATATTTTGACTTTCAGTCTCACTATGATGAAGAGGAAGTCATGGATCATGACGGCGATACTAAACACCACGGTGGAAGCAGGCGTGATTTTATGCAGGCGCAGAGACAGCAGTTCCGCTCTCTTCAAGGTCGGCCCTCACAACTGACTAATTGCTTAATTCAACAGATTTATTGATTTACTGATAATTTTATATGGATAGCCATCCACTTTATTGATATTTATCTATAAATTTGTTAGTTTTTGTGCCTGTTGCTTTATCGTCTTTATTTTTATTTCTTATTTTTATAATAGATTATAAAAATAACAATATTTGGTGAATAAAGTCCTCATTTTTTGTGGTGATGCTGATATAAAGAAACTGATATTGCTTATCGCAATTCAATAACATTTTCAGCTAGTAAACAAATGCTGTATGATGTCTATGAACAAAACATGGGTATGATCGAGGAGCTAGAGGCCCGAGACAGCACAGAAATGTCACAAAATACAGGAGGGTTTATGCCATACATACGCTCAAAGATCAGCCTCCCTACCCAGAAACACAAAGCTAGAACGGACGTGAGTTTTTTCTTCTCTCTCTCTCTATCTCTCTCTCTTTCTCTCTCTCGCCGCACAAAGTTGTATGAGGACCAACAATGTTTGAGAGCTATACATATATGGCTTATTTGATATATTTTACAACATATTTTTGAAGCCCTGAACCCACCCTTCGACAAGCAGGTGATATTCAAAGGGCGTCCTTCTTTTTAGTAGAATTAAACACTGGACCAAGTACAACAAAGGTGCATCATCAAGAGGTATTCTACACGCTCGGCTGTCACCTTGATTGGATAGTAAACGATTGTCGTAAAATCGCTAAATGATATTAAAACCGGGCGCATAAACTTGAAAACCACCTAGGACAACCTTGGACTGCCACATTAATCCAATACAATGCAAAAATAAACTATAATTGGATTTACGGTTTGATTGTGCGTATGCCATGCACGGAATTTACAAACGAGCGACGGGATGATGTAGCCTGCGGCTTTTGCGGTAAGCGTGCCAAGTTTTAGGCCGCACCGATGCCCGGCAGTATTTTATTTTGATTATTATGTTTAAATTTGTGGAATCTTGTTTCACAAGCTTACTCTTTTTTATTGTCTCTATGGAGGTATATGGGGACTTTACGACATTCGGCTTGAAGGCTTTAACCACTTGTTATAGTTTATTTTTGCATTGTATTGGATTAATGTGGCAGTCCAAGGTTGTCCTAGGTGGTTTTCAAGTTTATGCGCCCGGTTTTAATATCATTTAGCGATTTTATGACAATCGTTTACTATCCAATCAAGGTGACAGCCGAGTGTGGTATTCTAGTCATAATTCTTGTTCTGGGAACGGTTTCACAAAAGAACTAAAGACATAAAGATAGTCTTCACTTTCAGGGTGAATCCGAAGTACATGAAGTAAGATAAAGTAACCGTTTGTCTACAACATGTGTCATTTCTTTCTTGCACTACGTTTTCTTTAATAAAACTGCTACATGTACTACTACTACTACTACTGCTTTGTCTTAAAATTGGGTCAAACTTGACAGAAATTTAGTCTAAAAGTGTCGGTCTTAGGTCTTTGTTGAACGTGTCCCATTTTATTCTAATTATATAATTCAGGTAACAGCTATCATAGAAGCGGAGATAGTTTGTCTGCAAACACAGCTGATGGTAGCTCCCAAAGAGGTCGTGGCCTCAGCTACCGAGGAGCTGATAAAGAAAACCCTCTTATGGCTTGCTCATCGTCAGGACATGGCGGCACCACTGGCGCATTGCGATGGTTATGCTGTCAACGTACTTGAGCTGCTGTTGCATGGCAACGCGGAAATACAACGGAGAGAGAAAGGACCGAATGCCGGAAGGCGAGTTTTGATTTAAGTTGTAGATTTAATAACTAGATTTAAGAAAACATTTTTGGTTTGTCAGCAGGTATACTCGAATGTGTTGCCCAATTGCAAAATTATCTTTAAAAGCATGGGCGTCTTTTTCTTTATTTCGTCATTTAATTTGGCCTAGATTGAAATTAAAGTCAAAGTCGCCAAATGTGATGAAAGTCAGCTTTAAGTGTCAGTTTTTCTCAACATTTATCTCCCATCCTGCCTTTTAGAGAACGATATTTTACGGTCAGTACTGTATAGGAATTTGAATTAAATTTTCCTTAATTGAAATAATTTATTCCATTTTTTTAGAATACTTTTTTCATGTCGGTTAATATGTCTATAACAAGTACAGTGCAATATTGGTCGCTTTCAGGGCGTGTGATGTTTCCGTTAACCAACCTCAAAAATATTTTATTCCTTAAATGTTTTAGGCTTGATGAAGACACTGTTAATGGAGTAATGGGAGGCTTTCAGGGAGCCAAGCACAAGCAGAAGTTACAGGACGAGGAGTTCCGGCGGGATGAGAAGAAACAACCCAAGCTTAGTGACATAAGGGGTGGGAAATCTTTGTTGTCAGGTGAGTTGTTGAATACGAAATTGTATTTTAATGAGATAGAAAAAAAGAGGAGGAAAGGATTTTATTTAATTTATAAACAAAATGATAGATATATAAACGCACAAACACGATTTCTAGATCTCGTTTGTGGATGTTATTCTCAAAGGTCTATAAACGATTATATCAAAGCCACACATGGGAGTAACATAATATTATAAATATCATCCACGTACGTTAAAATCGCATTCTTGTTATCTCGTTAACATGAATAAGGGCATTTCAGTGTACATCTTTTTTCTCCTTTCAGGCGTTCGTCGGGTTCTAGCAATGAAGCCCAACTTGGAGCCGTACCTGTCACCTTTCGTGAACACAGAAGACCTGAGATAAAATGTGAATTAAGCTAATAAGCTATACATTAAAATGTATTACGGCACCAAAGTACAAACTCAACAGTGATCAGACTGATTCTAATGTAACGTTGACAGCACTAGATGTGTTTGTATATTATCTCATTTAAAAGGACAAAGAAGATAAACTTTTTCAATGTAATGGTAGAATATCTCGCGCTGATGTGGCTGCTGTTTCTCTATTAATTTTTATTGTTTCGTTTTTATTTATTCATTTTATTATATACAGACACTTTAATTGTCTATACATTCTGATTTATCTGCCTGTCCGTGCCGTCGATGTCGCCTTAAATTTACTGAGTGACTTTGTTTGGTAAAGGGACAGGTTGCTTTCGGAAATCGGCATGATCGGTTCATATTTACGGTAGTTATTGTTTTTTTTAATTTTGTTTTGTGAATCTTTTTTCCACACATTTGCATTTTCAGTGCCTTACCTGTAGTAGCTAATGTAAGAGGGTAAGAGTGATTACGCTGCTTTAAAGCATTATGTGACTGTGCATCGAAATTGGCCAAAACATTATTTGATGCACTTTTTTTCTGCGTAATGTCAGAACGTTTGTCAGCTTTTCTTCCTTGTTTCCTGTATGATGTCTGTATGTTTGCCAGCTTTGCTGTCAGGTTCATTTATTATTTTAATTTTTGTAAATGCGAATATGTGACATAATTAAAAGTGGGATCTAAAGTGGGATGACTTTTGATAACTTTGCCAATACATTATAAAGTATATTTTTATTTCACATAATTAAAATTCGAAAACAAAGCTACTGTTGAATAAGCTACGCTGTAAGATTAACATATACGAATGTAAAATAAGCTATTTCACAAAATATATAAACAATTTGCAAAACGAAAACCATAGATTTCTGGTTAGAAATGTTTGTATTTCGGAACTTCGCTAGAGCAATGTATTGTTTTTACATGCGCAAGTGATTTGAGCTGCACGGCAATTTGCTTTCTGCAAAATGAAATAATTTGAGTGTTCCATGCTAATATACATCTTTGTAATAAACTCATATTAAGCAGGGATAAAATTTTTGAATAAACATGTCACCTCCTTCCCGTTTGTTTTTTTTAGGAAAAACTGTCGTATCTTCCGACCAGAAAAATGTATAGATGATTGTACATGGTGTACATTTCAATGCACTAGAAATGTACAAAAAAAGTTGAATGATTTGTAGATGTATCACCATTATCATTTAGTCGTATCTCTGTGCATTTGCACCAGCTCAGTCTGGCGTGTATGTATGATTAAAAAGTTATCAACGTGTACAATTTGATAAAAACGTATAGTCATGAACTGCTACATGGTGTACATTGAATGTGTCAGAAAAAGAAAAAAAAAAAAAACATGGGGGAGTGAGAATGGGGAGCCCCTCCCCCAAAAGACAAATGAATAAAATTAAATTAAATTTAAAAAAAAATGATAATAATAACAACAACAATAATAATAGTAAAAATAAATAATAAACTAGATGGTGTCGATGGGTAGCCATCGCATATCCCCGCACTTCCCCATAGAGCAGCTCACCCCTAGGAACCACTTACCACACACGCACATACACACGCACGTACGCACACACATACACTCACATCACTGCTTCATCCAAAGGTATTTTAAAATATAAATGTAAAAAAAATTTACAATGTTAAGAGAATTTAGAATCAACCAACCGCCAGGGACAGCCCAACCCCCTGTTGCACTAAAATTCAAAAGTGCCCATGTACATTTCTGATAAGGGGTATACTAATCACCAAAGTTTCATCTTCCTACCTGCAATGGACTAGGAGAAAATAGCAGAAACTACAATGTGAAAAGAATTCAGAATCAACCAACCCCCGGGGACAGCCCAACCCCTTGTTGCACTAAAATTCCAAAGTGTATATGCACATCCCTGATGATGGATCTTCCAATTCCCATAGTTTCAATTTCCTATCTGCAATGGTCTAAGAGGAGATGGCAGAAATTACAATGTCATAAGAATTTTGAATCAACTACCCCCCAGGGACAGCCGAATCACCTGTTGCACTAAAATTCCAATGTGGCCATGCACATCCCTAAAGATGGGTCTACCAATTCCCAATGTTTCAACTTCCTACCTGCAATAGTCTAGGAGGAGATAGAAGAAATAACTAACACACAGACGCACGGACGCACAGACGCACGGACGGGCGGGATAACACGATCCCCGACTTTTGTCCCAAAAGTGCGGGGATAATAAATAATTATCAAAATGCTACTACTACTATCACTACTACTACTATTACTAAAACTACTACTACTCCTACTACTACTAATAATAAAATAACAAAAATATCTATAATAATAATAATAGATATAATGCATGCTACATTGTGATTATATCTTCGCATATAAGATAATCGACATAGAAAAAATGAACGCAAGGGTGAATAACTCATAAGCACGAGCACGTTGTACTTCTTTTTACAGAAGAAATTTAGAGTGTATGGTTTTGTATTCACAGTTGATCCGTGGTAAAATGAGGGGGGGGGGGACTCTCAGTATAAGCAATTTATGTATTTTACTACCGGTACAATATACAGGCCGAGTTGACGGTTAATGAATAAATACGTATGCTTTTCGAATAAGTAGTTATACCTAATGATTTTGTTATGGTTTTGTTATCCACACACGTAACGGGAAACGTGGAAAAAACACAGATGCAACTCATTATTTGTTTACATTTCATTTTCTGCATCTTGATTTCTAAGTGAGTATCTTTCGCCTGGATTACTTGTGAGTGCATCGTGGTTTCTCCGAGGATATAATTTACCGCGCCATTATAATATGAGACCCTTCTACCACTTGGAGTGATTGTTCATTTGCAATGAAGCGAGCTTTAAAATATAATCTTGTGCTCGAAACACACCTATTTTAAAGCTTGATGTTTCTTTCTATTCCGTTCTCATATTTTGTACACGAAGTATCCATGTTTTCAAGCCATGAAATTGGCCAGCGCGGTGACCTAAAGACTCACGAACACTTAAATTTATGATGAATATCTGCATATGCATGCACAGTTACAACCGCAGTTTGTTTAGAGTATAATGTGATGAATGTTCACTAAAGCGAGGGAAGGGGAATCTATACTTGTGATCACCACTGTACTTTCCAAATTTTATGCAAAATGGCGACGACAACCCGTGTCTTGTTGGTTTTAGCACTGTATTATTTTGGTGAAAATCTCCCTGCCGATGCTACTATCGACTTCTTCGCCAAGCGAGTGGAATTAAGACTACGAGAACATCAACGGGATATTTTGAAAAGATTTGTTGTGAAGTATAAATGCACAAATTACATGCAAAGTAAGTGATCAAAATGACATTTTCCAAAAAGTTAGTCTTGCTTTTTTGATATTTTATTCAAAATTATAGGTTTAATGTTTTGTTCATAAATTGATAACAGTAAAATTGAGTGGTAACAGGCATCAGAAAGCAAATAAAAATGTAATTCACGGCATTGAAAATTTCTGAAAATATTTGTACTTATCTAATTGTTAACAGAAATTGTAAACAGAATTCAAGGGATTTCTAATTTAAATACTGCATGTTTGACGTTGAAATTGCCTAAACGCTGCAAATATTGTTCTTTAGAAACATTCATTCAAAAGCGAAGCATGTTCCTAGACCTCCGGATTCGGCTGACCAAGCAAAGTATAATTTTTCTACTGGATGCCCTAGCAGAATGCTTAGAAAATGCTTCTTTTATGAGTTATAATAATGAAACTGGTTTTCCCGGAGCTACTACATCAAGTGCCAGTATGGGTGATATCATCACAGCTACAACAGAGACTTCTGTGTGGTGGCCGGGTACGTGCTCTCTACCCCTATCCCTCTCTCTCCTGACCTACCTTCTCTCTCTCTTTCCTACTCTCCCTTCATTTCTTCCTCCCCTCTCTTTCTCTCTCTCTCTCACACACACACACACGCGTGCACTCGCGCGCGCGCACGCAGCACATCTGAGTCCCGAACTCAAGTGTCCTTATACACGAGCACAAAATGAAATGGATGTACGTATCTACGCTCCCAATTACTTCAAATGTTGATAACATATTTCTTCCTATTTTGTTTTATCATGGACTACACTATGACCAAACCCCTCCTTTTTTAGACTCAGTTTGTTACAATATACTTTCAGTCGACGACCCTTGCAGCAACTACACTGTCTTAGACCAGCCGTGGAGAAATGTAGCTAACGGGAAAAACTATGCCCACAAATGCGACGACGAATACGATGGGTTTGTCAAGCAGTGGTACCGTCTCATTGGGGGAGCCGGAACAGGGATACCGTCCACGGTAAATATGCATATTTAGATGGCAAATTATAATTTGTTTTGTATACTTTCTTTTACTACATGTATATAAGTATAAAGATATTTTGCTTTCTTGTTTTAACTTGATAACTGTTATATTTTCTATATATACCTGAAGTACATGCTCGGACTTAACAAAAACGACAACAAAAGAAATCAGTTCAGAATAAAACACACAATAACTTCCCATCACCCTGAGCTTCAGAGATAACTTGACAGTAACCTCTTCACTATCGATAGCCTATCTTCATCGTGTCAAGTTACACGATGAAGATAGGCTATCGATAGTGAAGAGGTTAGTGACAAGTTATCTCTGAAGCTCAGGGTGCTTCCCATCCGAGGCTCCATTAAAAACAGTCGTCTATAGATCAATTGATTGTCAAGTATGTTTACCGCTCCCCGCTCATCTCTTCCCTCTCTCGAAATAAGATAGTGACATATAAAATAGAATAAAGATAATCTTCCCCATTTTAGTGCCAAGCAACCAACCACTGCGGCGCCTATGTCCCTATCTATCTGAACGGAGACCTCCCGAACGCCACGGGTGCCGTGGTCACTATTCCTCTCTGTGGGACCCACGTGAACGGATGCTGTGACCCTGACTGGCCCACATATAACATACCGCACTCCTTACGGGCCAAACACTGCGGGGGGTACTTCGTGTACGAGCTGGAGCCGACTACAGGGTGTTACGCCGCCTATTGTGGAACAGACTTGTAATGGGGCAGGGGTTCAAGGATTAACCTCCCCCCTCCCCCATTTCGAAGGATTTAATGATGGAAGGTAGAAAATTGATTCTGAATTATGGGATTTAATGATGGAAGGTAGAAAATTGTCGACTACAAGATGTTACGTGACCTACTGTAGCAAAAGATTTGTAATGCGATAGGGGTCCAGGGGCTAACAGCCCCCCCCCCCCATGATAAAAGGTAGAAAATTTATTAGAAAATGACAAGAAGACAACATGAAAGATTTCAATTAAGCTCAGAAGCACATGTTTGTATTTATAAACATGATTTTGGTGTACATGTCACTTGTTTGTCAATAAATCATATCCCTCCTACAAATAGTTTTGAATTTTGATTTTTTTCATTGCGGCTATTTATCAGACATTTTTTCTGTCTTTACAGGTTCATGTATTTTCTTATCATACCTTCATTTACTTTAATTTTACGCTTAAGTCTCCATAATTAACAGGAGTCCTTAAAGTTTCGATGAGTTTGAAGAGATGATCTAATTGCTTCTTGATGCGAATTCAATTTCTCAAGTGGCATTCAAAGATACCTCTTTGTTTTAAACGGTAACCAAGTATCGGATGTATATCAGGTCATTTCTCTGCGCAAGTGTAAATACTAAAGCCGGAATACACGGTGAACTCTGTGCTTAGCTATCGGTCTCGAGAGAAGTAAGAAGCGGTTCACTGTGTGTGCGCTAATTTCAGATATAGATCACATTTGATTTTAGCCTCACGCTTCCTGGTATGAAAAGAAAGAACCATAAGGAAAGAACGGTCAATCTATCATACACTAAGCGCAGCGCGTATTCCCCAGTGTGTGCCGGACTTACACGATACATATTTCAAAAGCAACTGCAAGCCGAACTGGAAAGAATCTTACGCATTAAGAAAGCAAAGTTCAGACAGACTCCGCCAAAATGTACAGCTTTTTCTTCATATTTCTAATACTCAGTTGGATTGACTTTAAGAATACTGCCGAGATTTCAGCTGAAACTTTCCAGCAGCAGGTAGAATTGAGAACGTATGAAGATGAGATTGATATTCTTCGAAATTTCCTGGTAAGGGAGAACTGCACGAATTTCTTAAGAAGTAAGTGCTTTTGAGCGTTTAAAGGAGATGTACGTGTACATGTACGCATTTTAAGCTTTTTCCAATTCTATAAGAAATGCGTAGATGTGCTGTTTGGTCCGACTAACTAACAAACTAACTAACTGACTAACTACATGTACCTGACCGACTAACCGACTTACAAACTAAAATACTGTTATAATGGATGTTGTTTATTTTGACAATAAAAGCTACTTAGTTTGTGGAATCCATACAAATGTGTTAAACTGGCTATCTGCATATATTAGTTGATTATTTTAAAATTTCAAGTTTTCAAGTACTGTGATATGCAAATGCTCAAACATTTTGACTTGAGGATACCAATGGAGAATCCATCCACACCGCTTTATTATAAGACATAATATATATATAATGGCAAAAATTCACCAATTCTTAACTAAATTTTTGTCGATTACCATCAATTCAGCGTAGTCATTTTTAACCGTATAACCAAATTTTTCTATGCAGAAAATTATATCCTAAAACGGAGCGTACGCCTAGATATCGAAATACAACTTGCCAAGGAGAGCGTTACTGTTCTTTTGCGGGCACTTGCTGACTGTCTCCGGGACCCAGAAATGACCACGCAGATTACGAGCACAATGACTACGCAGGCTATGCCGTATACGACCACGAATACCAGCGGTCTGGTCAATTCTAACGTTACCGACGTTAACGTGACCAACGCTAACGTCACCAAGGAACCTTTCAGTAACATTACATGGCCAGGTAGGTCTATATGTGCTTTCAAACATCAGTTAACGTCTGATTTCAAGAGTCTTTTAATACACAAAATTTACCCTTTTTACTATAGTTTTTCAGTGTTCATTGTGTTAAACGGTTTGTAAATTAGTACTATTCTTCATATCAAATAGTATATAAACGGCCAGATATGTACTCGTATAGCAACTAGAATGAAATACACCTAACTTAGGACAATAGGCCGAATCTAAACTCCTGCTACACTTGACTATATTGGCTTTCTGAACTGTAGCTGACGACCCATGCAGCAACTACACCGTACTCAACGATTCTTGGAGAAATGTCGCACAAGGAAAGAACTATCTATCGAATTTCAAATGTGACGGAGTGACAGCAGGGTTTGTGAAGGACTGGTATCGATTCATGGGCCCCGCTGGAACTATTCTGGCAACTGAGGTAATTTCTGGGAGATATATCAAATTATAGAAAGTATATTTTCAGATATGTTGAAGCGGTGACCTTAATATTTAGATTTTTACCTCAGCCAAGGAGGTTATGTTTTCACCCCTGTTTGTCTGTTTGTTTGTCTGTCATTAACATAACTCAAAAAGTTATGGACCGATTTTGATGAAATTTTCAGGAACTGTCAGAAGTGAGCCAAGAAAGAGATGATTAGTTTTTGGTGGTGATCCGGATCAATAATCAATCAATTATCAATAATAATAAAAAATCGCTGCCTTGGCGGCGGTCTGCGCTCTCGGAGTGCTTTTCTATTATATAAATATGATTATCATAGATTCAGAGAGCAAGCGGGTTAGCTGCTTTATTTCTTTACTTAAGCTCAGGATAGATAATACACGTATGATGAACAATAATTACTGGAATCATAGATAAGATTTATCTCAATCACTGTTTTTTTTTCTTTAAAATTCACAGTGTCAGCCAGTGCAACATTGTGGTACGTACGTCCCTCTATATCTCAACGGCACCGTTCCCAACGTTCCGGGTGACGTATGGAACGTTACGCTATGCGCTACGTCGGCGTACGGTTGTTGCGCTTACGCCTGGGCAGCTGTCTACACGCCGCCATTCGTCACAGTGAAAAACTGCGGAGATTATTTCGTCTACGAATTGAAGCCAGCTACAGGATGTTACACTGCTTACTGTGGAAGTGACTAGACATGAACGTTGCCAGTATTTATCGTAGAACTAGTAATTTTCAAACAACGAAATCTGACATCTTAATTTTACAAAATAAATAACGACTTAATGGTTTGTTCTTTTTTTTTTTTCCTCATTTACTGAGATTGTAGATAGGTAAATAATGGCATGGCTGTATTTGTGTAGGTCGTATGGTTCAGATTAGTTTTTCCAAAGGTAGCAAAGGTAATCCCTCTATTTTTTTCCAAAATTGTTAAGAACGAAAGTTGATCTTGACCGTAAGATCAAGATTTTACTTTATTTTATATCGACTCAAGATGGTAAGTGCTAGGTCAAATAAATAACGTTTCACTTATTTTGTTACTCTAAGCAAATTACTCCTCTTTTTAAACACTATTTAGTGAACCACAACAAATTCAACCGGAATTGAATAAAACCAAAATGTGGTAAAAAAGTTAAGATCAAGTTTTGTCTGTATAGTTCTTTCGTGAAACAGCCTCCTCTTCTCACGTTTGCCGCCATGTTTATTATGAGCCCATCACGTGACTAACGCCAGAGAACAGAGGAATTAAATTTGAAATCTGTTGTGAGTTAAATTAGTCCGATTTTTTAATGAAAGGCAGGCTCCTGCCTAAAACACGCCACCTATCAGATAATCTTAAATGAAAACTTAACGCCACAGAAAAAATCTGTGTAACTGACCAATATGTACACCAATTCCATTTTTTTCTAATCGTTTTAAGAATAAACGGAAAGTTTAGATTTCTATTCTAAAATTGCCAGATATTTATTTTACAGGTGCAACAAAACCACTTCTTAAAGTTTTAAAATGTGTATTCTTGCAATTAAAAAACCAGTTTATGATAAAAAGATAATTCAACAACAGTCAACAATTCGATTGTTTCGGTGAAAGCGAGACTACAGTATGCAATATGACGTCATGTACAACTATAATCTTATTTCGAATCAGATATATCTGCGTATCAGTTTGTAGGTTTCATAATTAATACCACAAAATTATTTTCGTTTTTTATTTAAACGCTTGTTGGAACTTAGCGAGAGATATAAATTCATTTCCTTTTAATTCATTGTATGGTTTATCTTCGCGACGCTTTGAGGCTACGCAGCTCGTCTGTGACGTCACGGACGTCACTATAGTTGCTATATTATATCTAAGTGATATTGCAAAGCAGCAAGATGAGTTGTCTATGCTTTTGTTTTAAAAGTCTGAAGTCGATGCGAGCAGATGATGGAACGATCAATTCTATATATGAAAAACAGTCTACAAGATGCAGAGAAGATGATGAAATTGTCTTGAATTCAGACATATTTCGCGCTGTGCCAAGAGAAAGTGAGGTCACACTGCACAAGTTCAAGCGCCCAATGAGAGAGTTCGAAGCTGGGCGTGGTCGTCCAGTGAAGCAGATAGACCCCAAGGTCACACTTTATTCGACCGCTTCCTCAAGAAGTGAAAATTTGCCAGACAGCGCGGGGCCCATGGAAAAGGTGACAGGAGAAAATGTTCTGTCTACTATAACTTTACCTGCCTCTCCAACCTTTGAGCCCCAAGCAACTGCCCCCGAAAGAGCCGCATTACGACGTCCAGGTAGAAAAAAAGCATGGGTAAAAGAAAATATGGATATGCCTACTGCCAACTGCTCAGCATTTTCCACACCGAAGAATCCAAAACTTGCGACTCCTAAAGCCAAAGGACACAAGGATCAGATGAGCGGTCAGTCAAATTCATCAAACATGACCAGCACACTGCCGTCAAGCTTTCCGGAGTTGCCGGGAGCCCCACAATCCCAAAAGTCAATGGCAAACCTGCAAAAGGAGCTCACAGCAGACATAAGCAAATTACTCGAACCAGTTCCTATCCAGCCCGCCCGACCTAAAACGAAGAAACCAGTGAACCTGTCGACCGTTTTCGACATTGCAACTGCTCCTACACAGGTATACCATTTACCAGATGGACACTCTCATGAAGTCCACGTAAGTCCGTATGAATTCGAGCGGCCGGTCAAGCCAAAGAAATCGGCGAAGCAGCATTTGAAAAATATCAAGAAGAACCTCTTTCAGCTCAACCCCCTTTCCAGCGGAAAAAAGAAAAACCGTTTAGAAGACGGCCCGGTCTTCACAGAGTACCCTCTGATTCAAATGCCAAAACTGACGCCTCAGATGTACGAGGCAATCTGCCCAGCATTACCCGGTGCCGTCCCCGAGACTATGAAATGTACCCTTGTGGAACAAGAGCTCAGTCAATTCATAAGGTATGCAACTTACCCTAATGCAAGTAAGTGTTTTACTTATGTTAAATATGTTACTTTTGTTGGTTTGCATGTGAATTTATTATCTGTTCCGTTTCTGTTACACACATGTATATGTTTTGTTTGCAGTGCTATCAGTTAAAAAACTACTTTTTCAAGTAAACGTGAAATTATTTGTTTCATTTAAGGATATGAACGAATGTACAGCTAATTATGACATTGTTTTCAGTAGTGAGTCTAGGTGTGGATCAGAAACAAATACTTTCGGGACACTCGAGCCCCAGCGCTCGCCTACTGCTAGCATGAATGATGAACCTGATGAGATGAGCAGTTCCTGTTTCAGGTGAACCTCATTATTTTGTAATAATCTTTTTCCATTAAATAACAATTCTGCTGAATGAGAATATGTGCGATGTTCTATTATGGACTATTTTCTCATCATTCATTATTATTACTTGTAATTCGTTATACAAAAAATATCTTCACGCACACAAAAAATTACATAATAATTACATAATCGACAACGTATAACTGCTTTCTATAATTTCCAGATCTCGGTCGACTCCGAAAGTGTCAGAAGCAAGTCACTTTAATGTGACCTTGCCAAACTGTCCCCAGTACGACCAAGACCTCAGCCTGGCACCTTATCTGCCGAAAGCTCCCAGACCCGAGGCACCCCGCGCTGAAACGCCAACCCGTCCTAGCTCTCCCAAGTGGCCTAAGTTTCGATTTCCTTGGCAAAAGAAGAGAGGCGTAGCCCCACTTCAAGACAGTCCCAGTGAAAAGCCTGCAGAAGCTGCAAAACCCAAACGCCGCAGACCACAAACCCCTTTCAGGAGAAAGAAAAGGGATGACACAAGTTCATAGACATATTGGAATGAACAATATGACATAACATCTAAGAATGGGTGACTTGGCAGCCAGTCGGTTGAATGTATTATCAACCAATGTGCATGTTTGTTCGTTTAAAGCGAACTTACGAATGTGCCTACCCACACGTGCACGCGTGAGCTGGCGGGATATATGAGCATAGGCACGCCACAGCTTTCAAGCGTGTATGGCTGGGCAAAAAAAAGTAAAAATTAAAAATGTAAAAAGAAATAATAATAATAAAATGTGATCTCTAAATCTGCATGTATCTGTATCGAATTATTATATGCATCTGATCAAACTGGTCGTGAAAAAAAAAAGACGGATAAAGTAATATAGAATTTAATATGTTTGATTCGTCAAATGAAAATAAAACACTGTATGTATAGAAATATTGTTTGTCATATTCGTTTTTATGGTGTTATTTATTTAGTTTCAGGCTCTCCGACTAAAACTGCCGATAACTTATTCACACGGAAATACGACCTTCCGATATGTTGCAGTGCAGCAGATTGAAGAATGGTTTCATTATCTCTTATGTTCACAAGTTAGATATTTCATAGCCATACCATTGATCGCGAGTGAGAAAACAATATGTAAAGAAAAACTATGATAACAGAAAAGAAATGAAAAGAAAAACTGTCCATCGGTTAAAAATATTTCATTTATAACATAATAAAGTAAAACAAGAACACGATAATGTCCTTTGAATTAAATCTATAACACTTAATGCATAACTATAGGCGAGCCGCAGCAGCTCAAGTTTCACAGGACATTGAATATTCATCTCTACTATCAGCACGTTTCTGGTTCAGAGTTGGGAGTTTCCAGCAATACGGGCTCGTGAAATAGTTTGTCATTCAGGGACAAACGAGATTTTTTCCCTCGATCCCCGTCTATACCTGTATGATATGTAGGCTTATGCGGTTAACAGCTGTTTCCTTTCATTTTGATAGCATCCGTCTGGTGATATGTGTACTATTAAGGTACTTCTATACTGATACATGTAAAAATGAACGATTTTATGCGCATTGTGTCTATTTCATTACTATAATAGGTCTTATTTGTACCATTTACATCATTTCTACCGAAATCAGCATCGATATTTTTGAACGATGACCGAAGTACAGGGGCGGATCCAGAGAAATTTTCTGACAGTCTTCCAAATTATTTTTGTTGATTCATCCTCCATTTTTGACCGTCTTCCGACAGAAAAAATCAGACACACGTCAATGTAAACTTTAAAATCTGACCGTCTTCCAGAAGACCCAGAAGACGGCCTAAATCCGCCCCTGAAGTACACATCCTGTGATACTGCTCATAACTGATCACCAACTTTGAAGTTGGCCTACTTGCTGGTCCAAAAATTAATGCACTGTGCCTCGCACTAAATATCCATGCTGTAACCAGATAGAAATGACAGGGGCTAGGGTTAAGCCCAGAATACAGTAAAATGTCTACCTTTTACGGAAAAAACTGTTAAATGTGCTTGCCTGTGTATGGTACGTGTCAATGACGTGTGCGAGCGCTCACGTGCGCTTCATATCGGAGTGTGTTCTGGCTCGGCATGAGGCAAAAGGCTACAATTATCATTCCCTAAACTACAACATTTTTGTTTTAATTATCACCATCGTTTACACTCGAGCTCAAACCGAAAACGAAAAATTGTACTAAATAAAAAAGTTCAAGAAATTTTCTTATGATTTACTACTGTATTGATAGACGATAAAAATTTCGAGAACGAAAACACCGTCTTCTTCATAGCAGTTTTGAATGAATTATCTGGTCCCAGGCGGTCCAACCGGTCCCGGTCCGGGGCCCTTGAAATAGTAAAGGAATGAGACTTTACTTCTAATGATAACGATTATAAAACTATAATAATTATCATATAAAAATATACTTTTTAAACTTGATATTACAAAAAAAAAAAAAAAAATCAAATTTTCGATAATTCAGTGTGCCATGAAATAATATAATTCTCAGGCTTGTGAATCACGAGAGATAAATAAAGTGCAATTTAGCGTCTTTTCATCATAAAAAAAACTATTTTAAAATATAAAAGCTGAAGGAGCAAGGAACGGCATATAAAGAAAAAACATGCGACAATTACCAAAGAACCGGCCTTATTAAAGCTCGTCCAGACTGGTTTCCCGACGCCACCCGCGTCGCAGGCACAAGTAGTGTACGAGATCTGCGGCATCACCGGCACTTTACTGCCTGTGGGCGGCGGAGGCTGGGGTTCATACCAGATACGACAACGGCACGGGGCCTCGGGGCTGCACGGCGAAGAATCGGGCCGGCTCGGCCTGCATCTCACGTCTGATCCCCATGCAGGAGACGTGTAGAAAAACAGTAGGGCACCTAGGAAGACAAGCTTCATTGTCATCGGCACTTTCCGCATTTGACGACGAAAGTCTGGTTTGTGACCGGGTCTCACGCATATATATATATATAATAATATATATAATTTTAATTGCTAATTTTACGGTTTTAAAAAGCCTATATCCGTAGGTTTTCCACTCATACATCAGGGAGACATCAAAGACTGAAAACTAATTTTAAAATTGAGTATTTATTCAATAATATCTCCAAATAGATCTTGATTGCATTATATATGTATTTTCCATTACTCTAGGTTAAATTGCACTTGCGAGTTGCAAACTAGGCACCAGACATTTCCAATTAGCAATATTGGTGTGAATACGATAATGGAGATAATTAAGGGTACAATTTATGATAATAGCAGAGGATAGTTTGTATCCATAATTTGATTATTTCTGCTTGGTGAAACCACTATAAGTTTAACCTGCATGTCACCCCAAACATGACTAAATATTATATTAACTGTAAAGCATAAAAAGGGCACAGTTTCCGAATGACAGATGTTTTGGAACATTAACAAAATATCAAATACATTTATTTGAGCCAAGCTGAGACCAAAAGGTTGCCACGAACAAAAATTCAGAGGTTGTTTTGCATACATTACAATTTTTATCAATGGAATTACAAAATACGCTTGCTTCAAGTTATGAATTCCAAGGATACAAGTACTAGGATAACACACGCATGCATGCAAGCACACACACACACACTCACTGTTAATTATACATATCTATAATGAATATAATATGGCAGCATGTGATACAAAATTATCACCTATTGGCTTTTACCAATGGACGCAGGGAGTTCTCTTCTGAAAAAAAAAAAATCGCTGTGCTGCATAGTATTTATGTTGTTCTCTATAGCACTCTCTATGGGTAATACCATGGTCTCTGAACAAAAATTCTCACTGCTGTACAGAATTGTGTACAAAATAAGCCAGAGAAATATCTGCGAATACAAAATGAACATGGTCAACCTTTCTATTTCCCATAAAAAAACTGCCACTGCCTTATCAACTCTAGCCTCTTCTGACATTGCCCCTTTTAGCCTACTTTTTCAGGTGTTCCTTCTCATGTGTCAAAACACAGTACCTCACACTAGTGAACAGCCGGCCACAATACTGGCACAGGCCCTGGGGGGTGACAGGTCCTTGCTGGGCATGTTTGCGTTCATGGTACTCACAGTGGCCCTTCTGAATAAACCGCTGGCCACAGTACTGACAGGCAAAGGGCTTCTCCCCGGTGTGAATAGGTAAATGAAACTGGAGATGGCCCTTGAGTCGAAAACCCTTCAAGCAATACTGACAAATGAATTTTCTTTCCCCAGTGTGGATTAACTCATGCCTTTGGAGATCTGCCTTCCGCAAAAAAGGCCTTTCACAAAATGAACACTTGAAAGGCCGCTCAAATGAATGTATTTTCTTATGCTTTATGAGTGATTGCTTTGTTTTGAACTCCCGCCCACAAGCATCACAGATATTATCTGTACTTGCTTTACGTCTTCCACTACTTGATTTTGACTTTGAACCTCCATGTGCTTTCTCGTGCCTTCTTAATTCTCTAATTTTCTGGAAGATCTCATCACAAAATTGGCATTTTAAAGGCCCAACAGAATCTTGTGAAAGAAGAGATTGACGTTGCTCCTTATCAGTCTTGAACATGCCCTGCTCAGAAGCAGGAGGGTTTGTCTTTTGCTCTACACATGTGGCATCATTTAATTTCAAAGTCGTGTCACAACCAGGTGCATCCAGTTGGTTTGTTTGAAAAACAGAATTGTCCTCTATTCCATCTACTCTAACACTACTTGATTTTGATGAAATCCCAATATTCAGTCTCTTAACAATAATCTTCAAGTCTTTTCTGGTGGAAGTTTTTTTACGACTGCTTTTTGGTGGTGTGGATCTAGAGGAAATTTTACTCAGATTTGATTTCTTTTCACTTATGGCATCTTGGTCTCCCACGATGCCTTCACCTGGTATATCCTGCTCACTGGATATTCCAGGTCTGTTCCCATCTCTGTATCTGTTTTCTGGTGTACTGTTGACTTCAGCTTTAAAAAAATCATAATAAAATAACAATAATTTATCATAATTATAACAATGATAATAAAATAAACAGACAAACAAATAAATGATAATTGAAATAATATAACAGATTAAATAATTATTTCCTACATGTAAATTCAAAATCTTATTGTTGAGAGTTAAAATACCAAACTAATAAGCTTGTCAAATGAAAAAATGATAATAATAATAAAAGTATAAAGGCCGTACATGCATGTTATGGGTAAGTATATCCGATCACATTTTTCTGGAGTAAATTAGCAGTGACAAGAAAGAAATAGAAAGTAAAGCAGCATGCACTCATTAATAAGAACAAAATAATAAATAAAATAATACAAAAGTAGATGAGGTTGCGAGATAGCTATGACTGTATAACTTTTTACTGAAATTGTACCAGTGCATGTTTACTGTTTACTTACAAATTACGCTGACATCTGTACCATAGCCCTCCTTTTTCATTAACAAATCGAAACGGGATTCCACTTGTAAATGGCCTGGTCCTAAAGAGAGCTCCGTTCTTTCAGCCAAGTCCTCAATATCATCCGGTTCGGTCTTAATGCCCAAGTTGCTGAAGTCATTAGACTCCATTCTGACAGGTTTACCCTGGTTCAGTTTTGACATTTATAAAAGGAACATGTTTCAAAGTTCACAAGACTAGCCACAATTAAGGAGATAATAAAGGAGAATAAGCCAACAACAATCTTCTTCTTGCCTTCTGTTTTCAACACGGGAATCAAAACTATACACCGATATGTCGGCTGAGTTGGTTTTCTTCACAGACGAAAGATTATTTTTCAAAATCATTTAAGTTTAAGCAGATGTTTGAGGGTATTTTTTATAATAATATTGCTTATAAGTCTCAATTTCAAGTATAAACTATCAATAAAACTCAATTAAGTTTCCAATTTTTGGGACTATCTTGGCACAAGTTAAATCTTGTTACATCGATAAACAGTTTTGGTAACACTTACTGTTTTAAAAGACTGCTGAAAGTAGGTGAAAATGCTTTATATTTTGATGCGTTTAAAAAAAATAGATTTGTCTGCAGATTGGTGTCTTGACTCAGAATGCAGATGAAATCATTCTAAAAGCCCGTTTTTCGTCGGGAAGTTGTGGGTAAAATTTGGATCTTGATCAAGAATGTGCGACAAAACATTTAGCCATTTCGTTGAAACAATATACATGTAACTTGAACTAATTAACGTTAGATCATGATGGCATTGTTTACTGGAATTTGCCACGGTGTTAATGTCAGCAATAAAAAGAATTGGTTTTATTTCAGCATCTTGGTTCCATATAAACAAAATAACACGACCTAAATACTTATATAAGATATTATAAATATTCCTTCATTCATTCTTTCATTCCTTCGTTCATGTTTATCATTGCATTGGTTCCCCGTAAAAGTGTAAATGTTAAATACCTGCTTAGAACATCTTAGTATATCTTGCTGTCTTCTTTGTTTTCTCTCTCTCTCTCTCTCTCTCTCTCTCTCTCTCTCTCTCTCTCTCTCTCTCTCTCTCTCCTTTCTTATCATTTTCACTTCAGTTTATTGCAGTGATGTCTTAAAATGGGATTCTTTTCAGTAATAGTCATATTGAGTCTTAAGACATGGAATGCAAACAGTATTTTCACATAATTGATTTTATTTCAGTTATAAAAAAAAGAAGGACAAGGAAAGAAAAGAGGATGGAGCAGATGTGAAATTAATATTGTAATAATATTGATGCACCGAATTTCTGTACCATGGAAGCTGATAATCATGAATCAGATATGTGTGTGCCAACAATCAAAGAAGAAATCCCTGATGCTGATCTTGATTGTAATATGGAACAACACTTTGAAAAAGTGGAAGGCATGCAAGCAGTCCTCAATGAGGATGACTTGGCAAGAATGGCACAAAATCAAGAGCTCCTTATCAAAACAGAACCCCAAATCTACAGCTGTGTGTCTATGAAGAAGGAACAAGATGTGGGTTCTAACCAGGACACTATGTTAGATATTACAGGATTTTATATTCAAGGTTTTGATGCTAAGGGAATACTAGGAATGCCTGCAGCAGACCATGTTGGAGATGGAGATGGAGAAGCTTTGGTGAAAAAGCATTCCGATGCAAAGAAGAGAAAACAAAAAATACCCAAAACAACTCATCAGAAAGTTACGCAGAAGAGAGGTGAGTTCAGAACTGAACATAAGTGTATTTTGAATGGCATTGAAAAAATTAAATTTAGTTTTGTTGTGGTATGAGAATTTACATTTAATTCATTAAGGTACATTGAATTAATGACTTACGGAATAAAATTATTTAATTCATTTGTTTTGATTTTTTTAAATTTAAAACAATTTTAGGAAGGAAACCCAAATCACAGAAAAGGGACACCAGTGCTGTGAACAGTGAAAGGAAATCAGTGAGACAGGCTGCCAAAACAAAAAGAACAAAAACTGCTTCGAGTGATGTGGCAAAACAGAAAACAACAAAAACAACCAAAAGTAAACAAAAAACAATTACTAGTAAACAAACTATGAAAAGGAAAAGGACAAAATGCACTTCAAAAACAAATAAAACAGATCCGTCAAATAGGGAAGAAATAGCATCAAGTGCAGTTGAAAATGGAAAGGAAAATATGGGAGCGTTAGTGAAACCTGGATTGAAAAGTACTAGAAAAAAAGCACAAGTTGATCATGTATGTGAGTGTGGCAAACAGTTCCAAAGCAAAGGGGCACTTTCGCGTCATAAAAAGATTCACTTAGATGAACGTCCGTTCCAGTGTTCATACTGTAAAAGACCCTTCCTCAGAAAGGCTGATCTTCAGAGGCATGAACGCATTCACACAGGAGAGAAGCCGTTCCAGTGCCAGATATGTGGTCGAGGGTTTCGGCTGAAAAGTCACTTACAGCTGCATGTTAATCATCACTTGGGAACAAAGAATTTTGCCTGTCAGTTTTGTGGGAAGCGTTTTGTGCAGAAAGGGCAGTGTGTCAGCCATGAGAACACACACAAGGAGATGAAGCCACTGGATGGACTTCCAACAGGGAGGCTCTTCTATCTCTGCCAGTTCTGTGGGAAGACATTTGCATGTTTGAGAAGTGTGCTATGGCATGAGAAAGCACACAAAAGTGAGATGGTGTTTTGGTTAACTTCACACATGCATGCACACACTCACAGGCACACACATACTAGTATTTACATGCGCACTCATGCACGCACACGTTAACACATGCAAAGCACACATTTCCACCAGAGATAAAAGTGGCTTTTTTCTTGTTTTTCAATTTTTTTGGTTGATCTTGTTTGGTTTCATATATTGATTCCAAATCATTTATCAGTTAAACTCTTTGAAACATTGATTATTTTTTCTTTCAGTTATTATTTTCACTCAATATGTTGAAGAGCTGTTAATCATGATTTTAGGGTTAAACTGTTAAATGCAGTTGGTTGTATTCTTCATTTAAAAACATTCAATCTTATGTGGGTAAACAATTTCATTGGTTCAAAAAATCATGAAAAACCCAATCATCCAACAATCCATCTGCTTGCCTTTTTACACGCAACCCTTTTTTCTCAAATAATAGGTTATCACACCCGTTTAGTTCTACCTTCATCTTTATGTTTCAGAAATAGACATGGAAAAGTACTGCTGTAGAATATGTGGGAAGGGTTTCCGTGCCATGCAGGATGTGTTGAGACATGAGACCACCCATATCCCAATAGAAGACAAGCCTTTTAGGTGCCAGTACTGTGATAAGGCATATGGACGCAGGTAAAAAAAAATTTGAACAACTTTATTTAAATAATCTTGTAAATATTGCAGCAGTACAATAATTATAAAAGATGTGAAAGTGCTTTCATGTGCGTATGGAGAAAACAAAATGGCAAGATATGGAAGAATTTAATAATGTTAAATGTTAAGGGAAAAAGCTAAAAAGTCTGTTAATTTTTTGCCTCAAACTGATGAACTAAAATTGCTTTAGGCAAAGAATTACCGGTGTACGGAAAAAAATCATACTGTTACAATTTCTGAAGCAATATACTTTGTTTAGTAATTTGATATACCATGAAAGTTACCCGATGGTGCTTGCTTAATTTCTTATCCTAATAATGATAACAAAATTTAAGTATTATATTTTGAGGATTTATTGAATTTTTAACCCTATTTCTCTTTCAGAAGTTATCATTAATAATAACGAGAAGCTTAATGATGATGGAAGCTAGTAATGGTCATAATTATAATTGTATTTATTATCAGATTTGAAATTTTGAACCGGTTGTCCAACAACAAAGATATTGACCCTTAAAAATACTTGCCTTTAGCAATTTTAGGGTAAAAAGCAATTTAATCTTTAAGTCGGCCTATATCTTATAATTTCAGGGATCCTCTAATCGAACACGAGAGAAGGCACACTGGTGAAAAAGCATACAATTGCAGCAAATGCAGTGAGGCTTTTGTAACAAGAAATGCTCTGTATCATCACATAAAAGTCAATCATGACCAGAAAAAAACCAAGATATTGTGTAAAGGCTGTGGGAAGGGATTTTATGATAAATATTATGCCAGGTTGCATGAGAAGTCCCATTTAGGTGTCAAACCAGAGCACTGTATGCATTGTGGGAAGGGATTTTTACGAAAACACACCAGAGAACACCATGAGAAAAACTGCAAAGTTCGAGCTGATGTGAATCATGGGAACCAGTTGCCGTGTTGTAGGTTCTGTGACAGGAAGTTTCAAAATGAAGTAAAGCGTGATCGCCACGAGAAAAAAAAATTGTGTAGCCTTGAAGCAAATTCTCTAAAACCAGTAGAAGTGAGTAGTGGATAGTGGATGTTTTAGTCNAATATTGAGAGTTTCATAATGTGAATTTGAACTCTCATGGTCCTGAAACTGTAATTTTATTGAAGGGGTGGACCATCTTCTGGGTCTTCCTGAAGACAGTCAGGTTATTAAGTTTATATTGACTGGTATCTATTTTTTTCTGTTGGAAGACCATCAAAATGGAGGATGGATCAACATAGATACTTTGTAATACTGTCAGAAAATATCTCTGGGTCCGCTCCTGTTATTGACCATGTTACCTGTTGTGCAAGATTAAAATTCAGTGTTGACTGACAGTGCTATTATAAGCATTATTTATTATTGCATCAAAATTGACAAAATGACCTTTTTTGCATCTTTATTTTCTGTGTTTTGTCTGTACATTTGACAGCTTTGCTGCTTTTTTTAAAACTAAATAATGTATAGATAAACAAAGGATGCAGACAAGTAATAATTAAATTTTATTATATGTAGAGATATGCTTCTGCAAAGAATGTTGGGTGCTTCAATTTTATTTGTATGTTTAAATAAGCAATTTGCAATGTATCTATGATTGCTACTCAGAGTAGGTGAAAAAACATTTTTTAGGGTGGTCACAGTTGGGTTATTTTCATTAAAAGATCTGGGCTCAGTAACTCGAAAGCAACAAAGCGCAAGCATGGAGATTCGCCTCTATTCCATGACTCGGGATTAACTAGCCCCATATAATAGCCTCAAAATGAAAGGTGATATGGCTATCGCAATTATTGATGCATTTGAGTTATGGAGCCCTGTTCAGAATCGCCTATTATTATTTACTTTGTATAGAGTGCAAGAAAATCTTGTAGTCAAAATTATGTCTTTGGTGCTATTTTTTTTACATTAAAAGTTTTGAGTTTCTGCTAGTCAAGAGATTGCCTTGTATACATTTGCAATAAACAGCTTAGGATACATTAGTGTCATTGGGCATTGCTTTTTGTGTATTGGTCATGCATTGGAGTAACATTTGGTAATGGAATCATATAAACTATTTCTTGTTTAACAAACAAATTGTGATAAATAGAGAGAGATCTGATTCAGATCCCTACCAGCTCTACATTATCATAAATGCCTGCTTATTTAATTGATCTCTTATTAATAAAAAAAATGAAAATGTAGAAGCTAAAACGCATCAGATCTACTTGGCCATTTCAGCCTTAAAATTGGTTGTAAATCTTTTAGGCCAAATATTTTAAAACTTAAAAGTCTAGTTAACCTACGATAAATCAGTCTAGACAACCAATTTTAATGAAAGATGGGATGGGGCTTATACCCAGAAAAAATGCTGCTTATGTAACTTTCAGACTTTTATTTTATGTAAGTGAACTAGTTTATCCCTTACTGAAGCAGACAAAATGTTTGGTCCACAATTTCTGAATGAGTTTATCTTTTGAGCCCAAGTTCTTTTGCCAAACCACTTTAGAAGTTTGTGTGTGTTTATGTGTGTGTGGGGGATCAAAGCTGTGCAGAAATTCCTGCAGAAAGAAAGTGTTGCTGGATCCAGAGCCAGGAAACAGTTTGTTAATGAACAGTGCTGTTTGTTGAAATTACAAATAATTATCATACAAGTCGTACAAAGAACCATGTCAACAGACGTTTTTAGTCCAAAAAAATTCATTTTTAGTCAAATCAGATTTTTTTAAAATCAGCCCCAAAAACGTGATTGTGAACAACTGAAAATGCAAATTGGAAAAAAGTTACTGAATACTTACATTGTAATGAAATTAAGAATACGAAATAAAAAGGCAACTGAGATGAACCAATTTATTCCAAATTGTCCTTAGAGCACCACAATAACAATTTGCAGACATACTTTCACCTCATTTTTCAATTGTTAGCAATTTTTATAGGCTGATTAACTTTACAGATAGAAATTTCATAAAATCAATTCATATCAAAGCCTTAAGATCAGCTTCATGCTATCTACAGAACTATGTGGTATTTATTCATTAACAAATTAAAAATAATTAAAGCATGGGACTTATCTCACAGCCAAAATAAAACCTATATAAGGTGCTTTGGTTATTCATATAAGTAGCTGTAACTACTCTTTACATAATACATGTATGTTTGTTTGTTTAATAAAACTACTGATTACCTGTTAGAGTCTAGTAGTTCTCACAGTCGAAATATAAAGCATTCTTCATTTCCTACTCACAGGTTTCACTAAATATAACATATGGCACATTTTAAAAAGTATTCAAGTTGTCATGGGATTCCCTCACTTCCAACACAGTGGGACACAAATGCAGGAGTCCGGAATGTTTGAGAATTATATTATTTATAATAAAAAAAAGATATATTTTGATATTATATAACTATAGACTTTGAGTCAATAATACAAAACATATAATGGTATTAAAAATCTTCAAGTAACATGGTAGCTTCAATGAAGGAAGAGAGCTCTGTGAAGATATACACTTAATTGCATATATTTATATGTATACATATAAAACCAACATTCATATCATTATATTCATAAACATATAGCTATCAACAATATTAAACCCCACTTAATTGCATATATTTATATGTATACATATAAAACCAACATTCATATCATTATAATCATAAACATATAGCTATCAACAATATTAAACCCCAAGTCTTAACCTTACATTACTGTATAAATCTCTCTCAGTTCAGTATATTTTGATATATCTTTGTGGTCAAAGTACATATAACAAAAAAATTTTTTTTTCCAAATCGACTTGAAATTGAAGTAAACAAACTGCTTACAAAATTCAACAAAAACATCATATTAAATAATTTTTTTATACAGAAAAAGAATTAACTTTATTTTAAGAACTTGCACTGAAGTATCACAAAGTAATTACTTATATGATTGGGAAAAATACATATATCATGAAAATACATATAGCATGTCTAAAACTTGACACATGACATTGAATATTACATACACATTTAAATAAATTTCTTGGATAACATTTTCTAAATATCAATATTTGCTTTTAAAATTCCTGCAAATAGCTGAAAATGGTAACAGTCACTCAGTATTTACACCAAATCATACAATCTGCATCAGCAGGTCTCTGCACTGAGAATATCAATACAAGCTTCATTATAAATTCAGATTCTCACTCTCCATCAGCACCTTTCCATATTCTGGATCTGTATTTATGACCTCAAATAGCTGGTCAAGAGTATCATTATCAAGCACTTTCATATCCTCTGGAGCGCCATCTTCAGTACCTTGTGATGTGCTGCCATCTGTCAACAAGTTGTCAAGCTGTGCGGAATATGGTGGAGGCATATACTGGGCTCCTGCTGCGGTCATAGCACACTGTTCTGGAGCCAGCTGAGTGGATGCAGAAGTGGAGGGAGCTATGAGAGAGGATGAAGAGGATGCTGGAAGAAACATTATGTGCTGGTTTGGATAGCCAGGAGGCACTGAAGAAGGAGCAGGAATGTGGGCGCTACTCAAAGACCCTGGGATACAGGATGGCAGACTTGAATTCTGTGAGGAAACTTCCATTGGGGCCCCAGAATCAAAATGCCTTACAGGGCCACCAGAATTCTTGGAACCAAGGGAGAGCAGCATTGGATCATCTTGCCCCAGTGGAGACCCTGCAGGATGACCAGGTGACCCAGTAATGGATGACGCACTGCCTGGAGACTTTGACGATGAATAACCAGATGAATTGGAGGCTGGGGCCAAAACTGCAACATCATCATGGCTGCCTTCTATCAACCCGCCCATATGGCTATGTGGAGACTCCATGGAGTGACTGTGAGAAGACATTGGTGATTTGTGTGAGGAACTCTGGGAACCAGGAGACAAAATTGTTACATCATCATGGCCGCCTCTCGGGGACTCCCCTGGCTGGCTAGATGGGGACCCCACAGTGGGCTGCAAGTCAGGTGGGCCAGGTGATGCTGTATACATTGTTGTCGTCAGAGGCACCATGTGTTGTGGTGATGCACTCTTTTCTCCACTTTCTTGGTCTGCAATTGCTTGTTGATATTTAACACTGACATCCTTTTGCTCCTGTAATACAACTGATGAACGGTCGAACAGCAATGTTCCACTAGACATGCTGTCGACAGAAACCACAGGTGTGCTAGTTGGGACATCTTTGGATGATCCTCGAGCAAATCTCTTTTTGCCCTTGGAATAATGACTGTTATCCAAACTGGCCCCAGGACCTGCTGCAGAATCATTATCCTCCAGCTCTTCCTCCAGGCGGCTTTGCTGATCTCTGGAATGATTAAGAGAATATCTTATAAAAAATAAGCTCATCTCTGAGCCACATTAGAGGCCTTGGTGGTGAAATAACTCAACCTTATCCTAATGCAAGTAATCTCATAAATAAGGCTTTGAAAAATCATTAAATGGGGCCCTTTTCCAACTAGAATGATAAAAATTATGTGTGTGTGTGTGTGTGTGTGTTTTAAGGTCACGCTGGCTTATCTGAACTTTGCTTGCTCTAACAACGAGTGAAGATTTCAAATTTGAAGGAAAAAAAAACTGCCTTAGTTGGACACAAACATACTCTTAAGCACTTTTGAAGTTTGTCAAAAACTATTTATGTCATAATTTTTTCTATTTTCAAAGTGTACTTGTTACAGATAAATAAAGGTCTGCTATACATCAAGATGATTTCCTATTTTGGAAGAGGAAAAAGCACAGTCATTTAAATAATGCTTATCCTTTAGAAAGAAAAAAATATGTGAACAGTGTAGGATGGCACACAAGCAAACCGTTTCCATGTCTTCCAATCTTACCGTGGCGGAATACGAACTTGATGAACTCCATGCAGGGGGTGGTAACCTTTTCCTGGTAACTTCTTCTGGCTACTACTGTTTCCTGAATGTGCAAAATAAATGCAGTATCACCAATGAGAGCATGAAGTTTAACAATAAATAAGTGGATAAAGTGTGCATTGGAAAAATAGCTAGATACACATATTTTCTCAAAAAGGAAAGAAATACTTCAATAAATAAGTGGAAAATACATAAAAACTTGAGTTATTTGTAACTAAATTTTGCATTGAAAAATAACTAGATAATCAGATTTTCAAACATGACAAAATACTTTAAATTAAATTATTGGAAAATATGCATATTATTTAGTTTGGAACCAAATAATCTACTGTGTTAAGCTATTTTCCCATTATTTGTAATTACATTTTTTTCTCTGAACTGTCTTTTGTTAATTCTAATATGGAAAGTAGTTTTCTATGGCCCACTTCAAGTAGCCAGAGTCACCAGAGGGCACCTAAGTTGAAAAAGACTGCGATACAAACCTTGTAACCACTCTCCAAATGCTTGTTTGAAAGAGAGGCTGGGATACAGAAACTTGAGTTTTGAGGTGGAGGCTGGGATATTGGGGTCAGCATTCTCTGTGATGAACTGTATGTGTGACAGGAAGACTGGGAGGTTGGTGTCCTTCAGGTCAGCAGCTGTGATAGCAGCAGCATGGTTTACTTCCACTGAAAAAAGAAAGAATAAATTTTGTTTTTTTACTTATTTCGCCTCAAGCCAGTTTTCTGCTATTTTATAATTATTGCTTTCTGGTTGTCTGTTGTCAGCTGAATAATTCTGAGGACACTTTACATTAGAAAACAAACTTTCATTTATAAATCTAGTTTTTTCAAGGTCCATTCATTGAATACAGAACTGTATGCTTATGATTAAGTTTATCAATAAATCTTATCTTGAAAATGTTTCACTGCAGGCGTATATGGGCAGTCTTTGAATAAAGAAATATGACATGTTACACTATCCGCATCTTTCAAAGTTTTTACCTAATACATTATTACTGCGCAGTCACTCTGTACTTACTTTTATTCTGCACACATTCCACGTAGACCACAGACAGTCCTCCACAGGGGTTGGCCTTCTGGTTTTCATCCACGTAATGATTGGTGAAACGGAGCAGGAATGTCCCAGACGCAGTGCGAGGGAGCTTCTGCAGCAATTTCTCTGCTTTGATTTTGTCTATGAATCCTTCGATCAAACTGTAACATGAAATTATACACAGAATATATACATTATATATAGAAACAACACAAAAATTATACAGTTAGCCATACACAACCTGTATACTTTCAGATTGGATACAACAGATCTAAATATGTGGCTCTGTGACACTTTGATACAAACTATTCTGAGAAAAAAACAAATAATAAATATGTAAAAAATTTGGAAAAAAAGATCAAAGATATGAATCACATTGACGAATTGCCATTCAACACTGCTGTGACATCTATTATGGAGACTAACCCTTTTTTCCACTGGTCAACAAGAAAATCCTTGGTCAAATTCAGTGTGGCAAAAAACCATTTCCAGAAGGTGAACTTAGTGCCACTGACAGGTTTCTGCAAAGAATTCAATATAAAAAATGATAACCCATAGACTATTATAGTTTTCTGATACAAACCTTTCTCAATATCATATGTACTATAAGTACAAATGTGATTTTAATGTATAATTATTCTGAACGATCATGTCTTTTATTCTTCTATCATAATTACACTCTGAATGTTATAATAATTAAAAAATCATTAATAATAATAATTATAATCATATAGATGTTGCTGTTCTTCTTTTTTGCCTTATTATTATAGAGGTGATTCTCATTATTTGTAATTAGCTTTGTGATACAATTTCAGATTGAAATTTCCCCTACTATACAAAAAATATGTACTCCTGATAACTTGCTTTCAGCTCACATTGGGTCTCAAACAGATCTGGCATCAAAAACCTAGAATACTTACCCTGTTAAACTGATCCCACGAGACAGGCAAGCTGGAAAAGTCTGACCCAAGGGTTTTGGTCTGGCCTGGAAGCCAAAGCGGATTTTAATCCCAAAGTAGAAGGGTGCATTCAGAACATTGAGTTCACAGGCAGTATAATTATTAGAATAAATATAACTTCAAAGTAAATTTTGTTAAAAAAGAAAATTATTTGAAGAGACCTCTGTCTTCATGGAAGTACTGTCAGAGCAAAAATAGCAATGGTTGTCAAAATATGTCAACATTACAACAATTAAGCTCATTGATAAATATACGCTAATTCAAACTTTTCAAAAAAATACATTTTGCAGCCAATTAACTTTTTAAAACTTTTGAATCAGCATTCTTGAGAATCATTCAAAGAGGTTTATTGAGTATATAACTACTGTACCAAATATTCTCAAAGCTAAGTAGTCCAGATGCTTCGTCTCCAAACCACGTCCAGTGCCGTGCTTGAATAACTGACTGAGAACTTTGGCCAACTCTGACCAGGGCACTTTGTCCAGTGAGCGGTCAGTGTTTGGATTTACAGTCTCAGGTCCCTTGGAAATAACCAAAAATCTCAAATTCAAATACCCTATACTAAAGATGTAAACATCAATGCTACTGCTTTTTGTGGACAAGTGCTATTCAAATTTACTTTTAACAGACATTACAATGTGTATATCAGCATGGTTTAATCATTTACATATTAAGGTAACTTTGTGGTTTACATCACTAAAAGTGCATGGCATTTAAGGTCTAATGAAGGACAATGTACTCTACTGAATGGCAGTTATGCAAAGTACCTTATTTCCCAGCATGCACCAAATAGCCTTGGCCTGGGCATCTGGGTTCTGCTGAGACTGTGCAGTGAGAAACATGGGCTGAGACAAAATCTAAAGGGAGAAAGTCATGAATTATTGAAAAGACCATCTTTTAATCATATAACCATGTAATATAAAAGTAAAATCTTACGGCTTAAATAATTAAAATTCTGTATTGTGGCAGTGCAAGCCTATCACTGTAACTAAAATTTTGGGCAAAGAATGTGCTATTTATAGATCAAAGATAAATTGTACTTTTAAATTGGGTTAAAAATCTATTAAGAAAGAGGAACAAATCAGACTGTCATTAATCACATTCATGCATATACAACACTCACACAAATAATAGATGCACTACCCTATCTGAAAATAAACTTAATCCAAAATAGCATTATACAATGAATTTTTAGTTGGTAAATAAAATTTATTAAAAAAATTAATCAGTTTCATAAATTTCACAGTGTCGTCTGCTGACCTGTAGCTGCAGAGGTCTTTTATCGGGCAACAGCAATTGTCCTGTGATCACCACAAAATGTTTTTGTTCTGCTGCTTTAACAGGATCCTTGCTGCTTGTTGGCAGACGACTGAAACCTTTCACCTGGCAAGGGGAAAATATTGTAAAAAGCCGCAAGAGAAATGCTTCAATCATTTGGCGTTTTAAAGTTTGAGGTCTGCGTTACAGATTTACAAATTAGTCAAAATCTGCATTAATTTTACTATTTTCCATCTTTTTTCTCACAGATTATGAGCATTTTCTAGATTTTTCATTGATTTTGTGCAGGTCCAATTTTTCAAGCTAATAAAACAGACTTCATCAAAACTTCATCAGTGATAAAAGTAATCTGTGAATTTGAAATTGACATAACTACATGTATTTTAGCTATGTGAAAAAAAATACTGTTTAATCTAAATTGGTAAGACATTAAAAATGATTACATACACAGTCAACATACAAGAAATCATAAGTACCTGCATATTTTCAAACCTGACCCCAAAGTTTCCCTTGACAACTTTGGAGCTGAGTTTCCCCTGTCTCCCCGGAGCCTTGCTGGCCTGTAGTGTGGTCACATTATGGAACTCAGCATTGATCATACCATGTTCTAGAGCCAGTGTGAACTTGCTACCTACCAGCCACCTACATAGGGGGGATTTGTAGGAAAAAAAAAACTCACAGTGATTTTTAAGGATCAGATTCTCCAATAAGCAATATGCTTATTCTCAAAAATTAAATCCGATGAACTATGGCGATGATACCAGTTTTAGGAGGAATGCAAACAAAATGTGAAACAACCTACTGATTCAAACAAAATCATATATTTACCTGAACTTCAAAAAGAAAGCAACTCAAGCTATTATTAAACACAAATTCATAAACACAACAAAATGGAAAAGACAGAAGACTTTTATCTGTAGAATAATAAAGAATAATGCATTTTGTGAATGAGAGAAAGTGTGTGACTGTAATTTGTAACATGTCTCTGTGCATTAACTTTCTCATAAAAAATTAGCAAAGCTGGATTCATTTGCCACATGCCTAAAAAAAACCCATTTTAATTAGAAAACTAAAAATATGCATTAAAAGCTTCTCTGTGAAAATCCCTTTTAATGACATCACACACAACTGACAAGTTGCATCTCCACTGACTGACTCAGAGGAATTCTGTCAGGTTTTCTTTCCTATGCCTCTCATACAAAACAAAAAGAGCATGTGTGCAAATTATTTATTTACTAAGAACATAATCCTGTTGTATGAAATTAAAACCATTCAAGTCCAATTTTCATGAACACCCACATAGTTTCAATTCTGTGCTATACTTTACCTGATACTTAGACTGAATTTCTTGCTGTCTCCCCTTTCTACATGCAGCACTGAGGGTGGTTGTTCCTCCATAATAAAAGACCTTTAATGAAAATAACAACAGTAATATTTCTCCAATCACTTGCCAAATATACAAAGTTCAGTACATTAAGATTAAAAAAAGTTTATACTACCAGGATTTCATAAAAAGCTTCATCAGTATGCTGGAATTCTTATCAAAATGAAAAGACATAGGTTTTTAATTAACTTAAAGGTTGCCCTAGAGAAAAAAGGTGCAAATCTTTTATCATGGTGTAATGCAATGAAGAAAAAAATGATATTTCTAGAACCATGGTAGCACAATAATATGATTTTCATCAAATGATAAAAATCTTTATTTCAATTGAATTATTGATCTTTTTTTCAGGATTATAAAAATCAATCAATAATTTGGCTAAAAAAGTCTTTGTGGCCTATAAAATCACAAAATAAAAAAATGTGATCTTGGAATTCTAATCACTTCTCCAGCAGCTGTATGAGGGTATCCTCAAGTCTTTCGGCAAGCCCCTCCAGTATCAAGTCGTCTGAGCCGTCACTTGGTTCACTTTCAGGAGTCTCCTTAAACTCGCAGTGTCTCTTCAAACTTAGTGTAGCATCCACCAGCACTTTTCCCTGCTGTAGAACATCAGCAAATTCTTCACATCTTCAAACAAACAAAATAAATAAAGAAACACATAAATAATTCTAACGTGCACCTTCCCCCGTAGCAGAACTTCAGCAAAATCTTCACATTATAAAACAAACAGGCTGACAAACATAAAATTCTAATTTCAACAGCACATCATCTTCTTAATTGACATAAAATGTCCATAGTTTTTTACATCTTGAGTCTTTCATGCTTTTAATTCAACTAACTGATCACAATTGGTCACATTTTCAAAGAAAAACACCCACTGATGTATTGTTTGTGCCCAGTATCTTATTCCTTATGATATTTCAAGTCTACTTAATATCTATGTCTGTTTTATCTTAAAAGATTATACAACATAATACGCATCTTTGACCTCATAAAGTAAACCAATTCATTTCACCTTTATCAGATTTAATTTAGATAGGATGAGAGCAACTTTTTTTATTTCCTCATGCAAAGGGTGAGCCAGAAGAATCCTGAAGTACAGGTGCTACTCAGAACTGAATATGTTTTCTAATATTTGAAGCTGCAATAAGAATTTGGCTACCTTTATGAGAGAAGCAATTAATTTATTAAGTTTAGTTATGCTAAAATTGTTGAAATTTTCCTGGATATTTTTTTAAAGTTGGCTTTCCATATATAAACCCAAATAAATGGTACTCACACATTCTGTAACACGTCCAACGACGGCAATTTCTCGCCTATCAACCTCCGCTGCTGTAGGCGCAGCCACTCAGCAATGGCACCTGCTATCTCCTTCTGTTGCCCTTCACACTGGAGAACTATCGCCTCACACTGAGATTTCAGTTGCTGAAATGTAAATAAAATCAAGACTGCCTCACTGATATAAGTATGTCACGCCAATAAGAGTCATATTTAGGATTCAAGTTGTAATGACTGATATTAAAAAGTATGTTCACAACGTAGTTAAGCCAAAAAAAAAAAAAAAGTTTATTTCCTATGACAAACTTATAAACCATGAAATAGCTTATTATAAATGGTACCTTTCTGTCTCTGAGTATGTCCTGGAACTTATCATGTAGGTATTGTCCCAAATCCTGGCTGAAGGAGTTTTGTAATTTCTCATAATCACCAATGAAACTGTCCTGCTTTGCCTGAACATCCTGACAAAACCTTTGCCACTGTGATAATAATAATAATAATAATAATAATAATAATAATAATAATAATAATAATTAAAGATAGTTTTTAAAAACTTACAGGCACAACCTTAGCAAAAAAATAACATGTATTTAATTTTTTTCATCTTTTTAATCAGGGTATTTTTATCAATTAAAAATAAAGATCTTTTTGAAGGCAGAATCAATTTGTGGTGTTTGTCACCAACTGGCAATATGACAATATAACATATGTTTTAAGTATTCTACACTTGGTGAGCTAGGGAATCCAATTCATAAAAGGATATTAAAAAGTGAATAGTAAAAATGCCCATCTCTCATGCCCTCCTCTGACTTAATAATAACAAAATAACTTAATTAAAAAGGTTTGAAAATTTTGCTTCTAAAAAAATTGTGTTCACTTATCAACTAATCAAGATTTTCTTCTACTTTCTCTTGATAAATTTTACATCTATTACATGGCCCATCTAAAGAAATTTAATCAGTTTGAAAAATTATTGACATTGATACACTAAGCTAATACTTGACTAAAAGCACTACTATTAACTTTACCTCAAACACAGAAGTCAGTTGAGCTGCCACTTTTTTCTTCAGGTTGACATAGCTGCTCTCTGGCTTAGAACTTTCCATTATGTGCTGCTTTAGTGAACTGTGGCTTGTAGTCATCTTGCTGGGAAGAACAGATCAATGACTGTCAAATAATAGGTACCTCAACTGGGAAATAAAGAAATAAGAACAAAATTGGTTATCTCTGCATAGGTAGATCCACTACAGTCTGTATAATAATTCTTTTTAATTGGTAAGTGAAAGTGCTAGACTCCTAGAATGGCAAGTGAGTTGAAACTGAATGGAGAGAGAGAGAGAGAGAGAGAGAGAGATGGAAAATCTTTTGACCAAACCAAACACATTAATTAATTGTCTGGAATGTTCACTGGTAAAGAATGGAATTCTTAGATTTTTTGCAAAGTTGGTGAAATTGTGTTACACAGAACTTAAGATTAAATATGAGGATAAGTTTTCAGACGGACTGATTCTGATGCACATTCAAGTCTTGTTATCAATGTCATTATTGGACAGAGAGCTGACAGATTTTTTATGAATTCTATTGTTTAAGAAATTCACTTCACCAAGACTGTGACAAGCCATCTATTTGCTTAATAAAGGTACATACGAACCGAGCATCGGTGGAGCGTGGATTCCCAGTAACACATGTAAACCACTTCTACTAAATTCTTATATGACTCAAATAAATTTGACATGCCAAGGGATAAACTGAATAGATCACTCGATCAGCCATAAAAGACCTTTAGACTGCTCCTTTCTTTAAATTTATGGTTGTAAATTTAACCTACTTCCGTGACCTACTTTCCTGCCCCATTGACATACAGCTTAGAATGCCAGCAGAAAAATCTGTTCAAACATCATTTTCGGGTAGAATTAAACAATGCCTTTTGGTAATTCTCTTAGTTATACTACTTGAAACTATATGCTGGCATTTGATTGGTTTTTGTGACAAAAAATTGACTTTGTATGTATCTTTAACTTTTACATTGCTTATTTATAATTATTATTTGCAGATAGTAAACTTGAAGCCTTCAGAGGGCTAATGTTAATATTCAGGGCTTGACATTAAGGGTGGCCAACTGGCCTTGGGCCACTGAAAGCCAACCTAAGCCCATTGAATCGATGGGGTCACTGGAACAAAGTGCAATATTTACCGGTATCTCGGGCCAGTATCGAAAAAAAGTTAGTGTCAAGCCCTGAACACATTGCACCATGTAACGTACGTAATTAAAAAACAAGGGGCGCACGTGTTTTCACTTCAGCTATGCAATGTGCGGTTAAGTAACGTTACAAAATTAAACACTTTATTCCAAGACATCTTGCATAAATGTAAAACCTTCATCGCAATCCCTACTTTTATCATGGACATATATACTTCGCACATGGGTCTTCCTAACGTGTGCTACTTACAATAGATGTACTCGTTGTACCCCACAGACTTGTAAACATGTAGGTACCGTAAGTTTTAACTGTTCATCAATCAAGTTGTGTTAATATTTGTTGTGTTAATCAGCTGCCTGTTTGTTGAAACATTAGCAAACTACCGCTCCAATATCCAAAGCATAAAATCATGCATTATGCAAAAATTTGTCAAAATATTACTTACACCGTTCCCCCGTCGATATAGCTTCAAGTCTCATTACCGGGGCATTGCATTGTGAGTGCGTCTTGATAAATGATGTTTATTTCATGACGTCATGATGTTGTGTTGGAAAGAACGTCTTCCAAGAAATGTGCACACTGCGCATGATCTGAAATATCTAGGTCATCGCCTTACCGGTTCATTGTAATCTTACGAATGATTGGTCTTGGGTACGATCATAATCCAATCAAAAATATCATAAGAAGGGGACATAGATTGGAGTTGTTTACTTCCGGATTCTAGAAACACGTGCTTCTCACCAGTTGTATACGTTTCTCACCTATCGCAGTAGTGAAAGGATTAGTGAAAGACCAGGAAATGCAGACCGGATGAAAAGCCATAGTAACAGTTTTTGCGAAAACTTTCTGACGAGTAATTTTTCTTGGCATTAGACCCGGAAAATCGGCACCACATACAGTTATTTTTGTTTCCACCCACATCCAGACAAATCACATTATACTGGAATTTTAGAAAAAATTCCAACCTCAAGCTTTCACATGCACTTGCTCTTCACATTTGAAAAAAAAAAAAAAAAAAAGAGAGAGAGAGAGAGAAAATTGATATAAATGGACAAATCGGTTTACCTTGGATGTAAAAATAAAATATACCATGTAGCTTTTTAAAAATTTTATTTTCTACTTTCTTGTTCAAGCCATGCAATTATCATTGTTGTATTGATATAAAGGGATTCAATGATAAAAATCTTAAAATGTGAAACATTGTCATAAGAAGACATTTTTGTTTAACAAAAATGTTAACTAATAATACTCTTAAAATATTCTTATAATTAAAGTGTTTGAAGAAGCATGAGTGGATTGCTGTAACCCATTAATTCTTTTTAAGTCATGCAAGGACACCTTTACTAGTCATTTGCTACAGTCTACTTTAACTTTCCTAGCTATATACCGATATAAATATACAATATTCCGAGAAAGTAAACAGTGCTTGAGAAACCAAACAAAACTAGAACAATAAATGAATAAATAATAAGAAAAAGAAGAGGGAAAGAGTATGTAAAGATTTTCTATAAGAGATTTAAAGATCTCTGAGAAAAGAGATCCATTGATTTGTTTATAAAGAGTAACCTTGGCGAGTCAAAGCCACTGTTTTCACTTTATTCGTACACAGAATTCTCATAGCTTTGATCCAGTTGTTTCAAGTAACAAATCATGCATGTCAATTAAACTCCGGGCCAGAGACTTGCCATACATGTCAGAGTCTGTCTCTTTGCAACTGTTGAATGCTGATATGGCAAAGATGATTTGTTTTGCCATGGGGTTATAACAGACCCCATAACCATCTGGTACAGTGGGCCCAAAGCAGAAAACTGTTTCCATTTTAGCTGTAACCTGAAAATATAAATTCAAGCAGTGCTTGTTAATTTTACACAAATTTTCTCATCCTTTTCTTTGATGTTTTTAGCTCCAACTTATTTTAGTTCATGCAGAGCCAAAACAAAAACAGCATTAAGTAAACAGCGAAATAACTAAATGGAATATTCTAAAGCTACTTAAAAGAAGGGGAAAGGTAAAAAAATATCAATCGCAATGCTCAGTTTCATCTATAACTTTTTGCCACATTAAAATCATAATGTCCCTTTTAAATTGAATGAGACACTTATCTTAACACAAATAAATAAATAAATAAATAAATAAATAAATAAATAAATAAATAAAAACTTACATTACTAGAAGAAATTTGGTGGTGCATGCTACGACTGTAAGCTGTGTCCATGAATAACTCAGGTACATTCATGCCGTTCTCTATTGCCAGCAGTTTGAAGGCCAGTAAATGTCTATCTATGCCTTGACCTGACAAAACCTAAAAAATTGAAAGTCATTTTTTTTTCCATGAACATCACCACCATTGAAAGCAACTGAAATACTCAATAAAATAAGAATCACAATTTAAATCATATTTTATTGGTTTTTTAAAAATATACTATTGGTATGAGGTCCGATAATTTTTTGCAATTCTTAAAAATTTTTTCATTATTTTTGTTTGTGGAAAGACCTACTGTTACAGAAACTTTGTTTGAAGTGGTCCTGAATATTTTTGTACTGACTCACATCTGCAGTATACTTCCTATGGGCATCAACAGCTTTTCTCAGTAAGTCTGCCTTCTCTTGTTTTGATACAGAATCATCCTGCATAGCTTTGGAGAAGTTTGTAGAGTCAATGGTGCATGACCTGATGGTGTCTGTTCTGCCCAGCTTGAAAGCTCGTGTTGATCCACTCTCATAGGTGGCGGGGGGTCTATCGTAAATGCTGTAATTATAGGTTGAAATGATTAACTGATTTACTGCTTTATAACAGATTGTTTATTAGTTGCTGCTCATTGAGATAAAATTAAAAAAACGAAAGCTTTCAATAAGTTTATTCTTTTGCAACTGGTTTTGGAAATTCTGTGCCCAATTTTTAATTCGTCTGTCTGCAAGCAGTGACTTAAATGTATATTTCTTCATTAATATTACATCATCAAACAGATTTGTTTGAGATAAACAATAATTTGAATTATAAAGTAATGAGTTATAAGAATCTGCTGTATTTCTACCTGTGATAAGCCAGCTGCATGGCCACCTGTATAAAGGCATCTGGAGAGAGTTTCTGGGATTTGGCAAAATCTTTACCAAATCCTTTAAATCTAAGAGCTGTTAGTGACACATCATCCACCATCCTGTAATTCATTAAAATTTGAAAATAGATATCAAAGGCAAGTTGAAAATATTTAAATTACCTTTCCTTTCGAAAAAAATTAAATACCAACTGACATTTTCTGATTAATCAAATATATTGGTACTTGCAAATAACATCAAGTTGCATGTTTTTCACAAAAAGATGTTTACTTAGTTTATAATCAAAGGAAGAAAAAGAAGATAAGTACTCTAACACATTCACCTAGTTTGCTTTGTCATATTATAACCCACATACAAGTTCATGGAGAAAGTCAGCTGAATCACATGCACACCACGTAAGGTCAACCCTGAATTTCACAGGTAACCAGAAAATCCCCTCTTATTATCAGAAAATGCTCCTTCTTCTGCTGAAAACAGATGTGACTTCCCAGTTACCTCTGAAACTCAGAGTACCAGGATGGTTCAGTTACCCACATGTCTAAGTCCTCCTCTGCTTCCTTAATGTCCTCCAGTGTTTCTGGTGACAAATCCCACTCTAGCTTCTTGGGGTCTACAATTCCACTTGCAGGGGCTAGCTCTTCTGGAATTTTCTTCCTATATTTTTTAAGAATATCAATTAAAGATTTGGTTTGTAATTATTTTAGATGGATTACTGACTGATCATGATAATAAATGTTTTTTTTAATTTAAAGTTAAAACTTATGTAATACAAATATCTCACTCAATCTTTTAACTTATTATATAAGTAACATCAATCTTCCACTTTGTATTTCTATATTAGATCTCCATTGTATCAGCAAATATACTTACGCATAACTCATAGCATGATCCAGTAAAAAGGCAATGGTGGCTCCCTCTGCAGCTGCATGTTCATAATTCATGCCACAAGCACCATCTGGACTGAGGATTAGCTGGAAGATATGGGGAAACCCATTTTATTAATCATCATCACATTGCTGCAGCAGAACACAAAGACTATCATGCACATACTGTTGTTCTTATCATGTTTCATGGGACATTTTTAAATAAGACAAGACAGTTTGTCTTGTAACTTTTTTCATTTTTACACAATATAACAAACTCTCACTTAGCATCACAACAGATATAATTATACTACATATATCAATGACCAACATTACGTCTACGAATCTGATAGAATTGAGAGCAAAATCAGTATTTTTATTAGTGTGAGGATTTAATGATGTCTTTTGTAAGTATAAAATGAATATTCAAATATTTACTAACAAATGTTTTTTCCAGAAAACAAGAAAGCTAAAGAAAAGACCAAATGTGCCTTTTGTAGCCCGTTCCTCACATCCCCCCCCCCCCCCCAGAAAAAAAAGAAACCTTATACCTGCACCTAGTCTTACCTGCATTGTCTTATCAAACCACCTGTTTCCACTGTTAAGATGGCTCCCGCCTCCATGAAACATCTGCCTGACAAACTGGCTCTGTCTCATGCCTGGGCCAGTGACAGGCATGGGCTTGTCTAGACACAGGACTAATATACTACGCTGGATCTCTTCAACATTGGCCTTGTTCATCGTGTCTGAAATCAAGATATTATATACCAATTCTAAATTTATATATATTTAAATAGCTTGATTTTATATTTTAATTAAGTAAAACTTCAACCTTTTGGTTGCAATTTTAGATCAAATAAACATCATTAAGAGTTGACATTTATTTATTGTCAGAACATGTATGAATATCAACTATAAAACATTACCTCATTACTGACAAAAAAAAAACTGTGTTTGCCAAATAAATAGTAGAATTTGGAGAAATATGTAAAATACATTAAAATTATTCACTTTATATATGTTGAACAAAGCTAAAAAATGTGCTCTCTTGAGCAAAATTCTGGTTCTGCAGTGAAGTATACCTACTTTTTACCAGCCTCTGGTAAGCAGATCCCCATGTTTTCCTGCTCTCTGTGGTGAGAATTCCAACTGGAGGGGTGGGGTGTGAAGAGCTATCTACGATTCTCATCAGTTGTTTGTGAATTTGGTCCACATTGAGTGGCTTTCCATTCTGGCCATACACATCAAGTTTAAAGAACTAAAATAAAACAAGAAAATTAACAATATATTTTCATTTTTGGTGAAATAATAATGAGTTTTTTATGGTTACAGAACTACATGTCTCACTGGTTTGTATTTGCAGCTTCTGGAAATGACCTTGCAGTACATGATAGACATTTTTCATAGTCAATTGACATTTCCTTATATTATAATCCAAAGGAAAACTAGTTAACATCATATTCTCACATGTTCAGCATATTATGAAAGTCACAAAAATTTCATATGCCATTAAATAACAAATGGTAGTATCTTTTATTATCAAGTAAGAAACCACCAAGAAAAAATTGTATAATTATCTAATTAAAATTTGAAACAAAATCATGCCTGAGGTCTATCTCCCATTACAAAAAGAATGTACAGTATTTGTATTTCAAAACCTGATGGCTCCCTTACATGGTTGTTACGAATAACCATAATATGTCTTGGTGAGTTTGGAGTACCCGCAGGAAACTGCACTAGAGAATCACGTTTCACCCCAGGAACACGACATGATGAAAGTATCTTGTAATACTGAGCCATGCAGAGAGGATGGTCGCCCATTTTTTCTTCTGGTAGAGTTTGCCTGGCAGACGAGAAGAAATGGCTTGATTAATTGACATTTTGTTTATAAACATGTATATTATACTGAGAGTGCAAAATAATTCTGTTTCATTTCAAATAGCTTTAAATATAATACAAAGAGCAGACTCCCAAAAAAGTTGTTTTTTGGCAATATCTAAAAGAGTTTAATGGTTATCAAAATAATGTTTTACATAACTCAACAGTCTGAATGCAGAGACACAGTACATTATTTTGTCATTGATTACTGTTTCTCCACACACAAATATATAAGTAGCATATGAAACATCATTCAATCACAAAAGAAAGAAAATAATTGTAGCCTTGAACTTACTCATCAATCATCTTCTTGAAAGACAAAGCACCAGATATCCATTTAGCTGCAAATCTAGAAGAATATAAATTATATTAATATGGCAGGGCATATGCACATCAAAGCAAAATAGGTATAGGTGTTACAGATTAAAAGATTTAACATGCCTTCTCTTGGCATGGAGTAGAGTACAAAAATGCTGGCGGTTATATAAGTATACCTTCCAAACAAGGTGTGTCAATCAGTTAATCTGATATTGCATTCAGTGAGAATGCCTGCGTATTTGGATCGATCTACCTAGCATGAAAGTTTTATTGTGAACGCACAATAGACATTCTCAGTGTACAGTGAGTAGGAATGTATTAGGTGAGATACCTCAGCTGTTCCATTTCATCATCAAAGTCCTGCATTGGGCAAATAACACCAGGATTAGAGTGAACCACCACTGGCATCCTATAGCTTAGGTAGGCGACATTCAGCCACCATTCTGCTAGCTGGAAATCACAAAATCAAAAATGAAACAAAACAAAAAAATTTAAATAAATGAAAATCAAATATTAATAGTAATTTAATTATATCAAATTATCAAGGATGTAAAATGGGCCAGACCTATCCTCTTTGTTTATATGACAGCAGGATGGATATTTATTATATATGTAGCTTAATAGTAATAATTAACCTTAGGCTAGAACTAATGTTCTGAAAAATGACACTAAGGGTACATTTCCAGAGATTTAGATTTAGATCGACCTAACTCCCTAGGGTTTCACGCTAAATTGCAGTCAGCCGAGCGTGCACCATAGTTAATTACCCCCTTACAGCTTTTAGTAGGCAGGACAGACACTTAAGCCGGCTAAGCTGACAGTTGTAATCTAGTGAGACTCCCCACAGGGATAGATCGATCTAAAATCTATGGGAATGGGGTCTAAATCTCATTTAGGGGGAGGGGGTTCAATCATTTATTGGTACTCCATTTAAATGGACTTTAACAGCACTTTTATACTTGGACCTTAGAGACCAAAGTTTTGTTCAGCTTTCAATGAAAATATAAAACTGTCGGGTGCTTTCTAGTTCACCGATTCCATGTTGAGTTTTTGAACATATAGTATTCTATGAATGTCAGAAATGTTTCATTAATTTTTGTATCAGCTGTTGGTTATAAACCATACAATAGTCCCTACCCAATTATCTGTACTTTGAGCCTTCTTAAGCAGCAGGTCCTGTAATTTGGGTCCTGGATTCTTTGAAAAGTCTGCAACGATCTGAAAAGTTACAAAAATCCATTAGAAATTTAATAGAAAAATAACAAAGGAACAGTGAAAGAACAATGTTTAACCATCACTGATGCCTACCAAGTTGTTTTTTCATCTACAAAGTAGCCACATAAGCTAAGTTTTACAAATAAAGATATCAACAAAACATCTTACATTAATGTTTATTTTTTTTCCTAAGAAAAAAAATTGGATTTGAGAAAGGTCTTGTTGTACCTACATGTCTTGTCTGATCATATTCTTCATCACTTAGCAATGGACGTACTGATTTAAGATATTTATCAAGTGTTTGTTCAAGAGATGGTACTGGTAGCCGTGGCAACTGCTGCTTGACTGAGTACCTGCGGGTTGCTTGCCATATTTTTGGCAGGTAGCTTTCCACAATAGGTGGAGCTAGTGAAGAGGTCTGTTGTACCTAAATAAAACTTCCAATTTGTATGCATTTATTTGACATTAATTATAATAGTAGTATTTAAGTACAGAGACAAATTCATAAGTGGCATTTTATATTACTTATATTTTTGATAATGAAATATCAGTTCAATTATACTATTATATAAATGTCTTGAAGCTAAGATTGGCAAGTGCTTTTAGAGCCAGAAAGGTCATAACCCCTGTGTCAATAATTCTGCAATCTACCATGCCGTCTACCTCTAAGATTCATTCTCTAAATTCCAGGATTTTTTTTTATTATATTGAAATGGTATTTCAATCATTTATGTACATGCATAAATTCTTGATGTTTTCAGTTTTCAAGTACAGGACTTGAGACACTAGCAATAAAACTAACATATATAGACTTACAGAAAATAATATACATATAACCCATCATGTACATATACCCGCATGCACACATTCACAAAAACAAAACTGCATATTTTACTTTAAGGTTACTAAACTGTTTAAATATTGGAGTGGACCAATTGGGTTTTAATCACTTAAGCAGACATATAAGACTATATGTAGGAGAAAATAGCTGGCAAAATTAGCTGTCAGACGAAAGGTTACCAGCCAGATTCTGGCATTTATGCTTTACTGTTACAGTATACCTGTGTGTATCCTGCTCAGATATATAATTAAACTTAAGAAACACATTGCATATATGATCAAGTCATGATTCTATCTCTTAAAATATCCAACTGTGATATAATTGTTTCATTTGGATGGCTTTCAAATTTAAAGTTTTTGAAAGTTTGTATGGATTGTAACAGAAACATTTGCATTGGACTGGACATAGGTTTTGGGTTCCTCAGGAGATACAGCTAAAACCCAATGCCCAGTAATCAATGTGTATCACTGTGAAATACAATGATTGCTCAATTTTAAAGAATTCTTAAGACTGAGTGAATACTTACTAGTGCAGAACTCAGACGTCTCAACATGTTTCCCAGTTTGACCTATTTGTACACTGGGGAGATAGTCCTCTGCTCCTCACAGCACACCAGACATCCTTGACCTTTTATAACTCTTCTAAAGAGGTACATTTGGCAAGGTGTATGGAAGCCCTTAGAGATTGCTTTACCAGGTTTGGTGAGGGTTTTCCCCTGTAAAGTGCTGTTTTTAGCATAATTCGACTCAATCATTTGAGAACAATTACATTATAATTGGCAGTTTTCCTGATATTCAAGTTTGCATACCCCTTTATTAAATTATGGATAAAATTTCTTTACAAGTGAGCACTACTTCAGTTAATAAGGCAATTGTCAGTTCTCTTTTCACAATGACTTACAGCTTCAATAGTTACTAATAAACAACATATGCTACATTTTTGCAGAAATAATTTGAGGATGACATAAACACATTACGTACAAGTCATTTATTCATCATATAACTTTTAAAAATAATTCTGAAGCACAAAAATTACTCTAGTGTATTCTTAAATAACTATCACCTTCTTACTGAATTGATTAAAGGGGCATCCTAAACACATGGATACACTACTTTTGATAAATAATGATCCATAACATCAATCACTTTTTATGATATCACATGTAAAAATATGTTTTTTTTTCACCTTTTCTTCAGCGGTTTCGCAGGTAATTCTATTCAGCTACACCACATATGTACACCTTCTACTTAATAAATACAGTAATAAGTTCACTACCTTTTAAGTAAAACATTTTAGTCAAAAGTGAATGTAGAAAATTTTTTAACTTTTAAAATAACATATAATAATTTCACTACCAACACATAATTTTACAGAGATATGATAACATGGTCATTTGATCAAAATAACTGAAAGCTGCACTGGTTAGAAAATTGAAGTACAACATCTGGGATGCAAACCAGGAATGTGATATAAACAAGAATAAAGTTATAGAAACAAGATGGAGGGCTAAATAGGAATGCTAAAAGATGTAAGGCAGAAAAGGGAACTTTTGGGGAGGGGTTGGGGCCTCGAAGTGTGAAAAAGAGAAATGTGGAAAGAATGTGAAAGAATGGCAAGGGGGATGATAAAGGAAATACAGCAATAAAACAAACAGTTGGTGACATGGTGATTAAATACACAGTCAATATGACTGGTGCAGGATTGATCTTAAAACAAGGAATGAGGGTGGTGAAAAGTGGAAAAAAAACGGTAAGAAAAATATTTGGTAGAATTAGGAATGTGGATTGGTATATGCTATTAGGGCATTGTTATTTTATAAACTATGAGGAATAAGCCTTAGGGTGGAATGACTTTCAGATACACAAAAGGGTATAACTACAGTAGCGGATAACAGTTATTATAAACATAAATACACTCTGTGTGTGAATGAAGTGCTCTTTTCATACTGAATATGTGACCATAGCTACCTTTTTACACAACATGTTAATCATGGCATACATTTAGAAAATATTGCGGCTTGGAGTTGCTGTCATCAAAACACTGTTGGCCTTGAAGAATTTGAGAAAAGCATATATAAAATCATACAAGTAAGCACCATTAAATCATTTCCATTTCCCATAATTTCCAACAAAACCAACTCCAAATTATGCATCAACCCTTTGTAAAAAAATATATGCCATATGACTATAATGTGACAACTGGGATGCCTTTGGTTCAAAAGCCAAATTTTTTTTTGCATTCAGCAAAGTCGGAAAACAACTGCTATATCTTCCCAGCTGCATTTCTCATAACTTCGAGCCAGATGTTTGCAGCAATAAGTCATGCATGTCTGTTAGACTTTTGGCCAGAGACTTGGCATACATGTCAGAGTCTGTCTCCTTACAACTGTTGAATGCGGATATGGCAAAGATGACTTGTTTTGGCTGGGGATTGTAGCAGACTCCATATCCATCTGGTGCTGTTGGTCCGAAACAAAGAACTGCTTCTGTCTTAGCAGAGACCTATGTAAGTTAAAGAGGATTGGCGAAGTATTTGCTTGTAAAATAGGAATGCAAGTATGAAAAGATTTAGAGAATATGGTTTTAATTTATTTTCCATTTAAATGCTATTATAACTTGATTTCTTAGACCACTTTGACTAAGGCAAGGATTTACACATTGCCTCTTTTAAATATTCAGTTTTAGAACTTTATCATTTTAATCAGCAGTAGCTTACAACTGTAAAAAACTCCCACATGCATCAAAAAAGAGGGAGAAAGAGTTCACTATTTAACTGCTTAACAATCTGCTAAATCTCTAGTCCTCATTCACACACACACACACACACACACACACACACACACACACACTAGAGTACTTACATTACTAGAAGAAATTTGATGGTTCATGCTGGTCGTGTAAGCTGTGTCCATGAATAACTCAGGTACATTCATGCCATTTTCTACAGCCAGCAGTTTGAAAGCCAGTAAATGTCGATCTATGCCCTGACCAGAAACAACCTGGAGAAATGTATTAGTATGAGCCAACTTCTAGTTATCAGTTTGAAGTCATTTTTATTATAATTGTTATTATCAGCTTAATATCTGTCAGCGCTTTAATCATTGTTGCTGTTGTAATTTTTCTTTCATTTTAACATGTAGTAATTCACGGTTATTGTGAATATAAGGTTTCTGTTTTTAAGTCACTCTTGTAATTAAGTTGGAGAGTGGTGTGTGTGTGTGTCACTGCTTATGGTAAAAAATTCAAAACTTGAAAATTTGGGAAGAGATCATCTGTTTTGGATAGGGTTATAAAAGTATGGCTTCTTGATTGCGAGGAAATGGCTGAATTTTTCAAAAACAATTCATTTTATGCTGTACAAAAGTCTAATGCATATTGTTTGAATTGTCAAATGCTATAAAATTTTTATATGTGTTGTCCTATGACAAAATGAAGATATGACCTTAAACGAAACAGAAAGTATGAGTTTTTACTGAACTTCTACCTACCTCAGTAGTGTACTTTCTATGAGCATTCACAGCTTTTCTCAATAAGTCTGCCTTCTCTTGTTTTGATACAGAATTATCCTGCATAGCTTTGGAGAAGTTTGTGGAGTCAATGGTGCATGATCTAATAGTGTCTGTTCTGCCGAGCTGAAACCTTCTAGTGGAACCACTCTCATAAGTGGCTGGGGGCTTGTTGTACAGGCTGAAGAGAAATGACTAATCTTAATAATTCTACATATATAAATATATTGTATGAACTAGCTCGTTTCTTTTTTCTTTTCAAACATACTCTTTTACATTTCATTTCAAATATGGCACAGATGACATACAGAAGAAAGTGCATAAATCCATATCAAAATGACTGGATGCACCACTGACATGGTATACTTTAATCAAACTTGTTGCTGAATGCCAAAGTATGATAAACATATACAAATGGCGACTTAAAAGAAAATGGAGAAGCCAGCAGCTTTTAGGCCTGGATTTCAGGGGAGGAAATCTTAAGAAGTAAATAAAAACACACTATTTATAAAAATACCATATGACTATACTATAATAAATGTAAATATCTTATTTCTATGACATTTACCTATAGTAAGCCAGCTGCATGGCCACTTGTATAAAAGCATCTGGGGGAAGTTTCTGAGATTTGGCAAAATCTTTACCATAACCTCTAAAATGTAATGTGGACAGAGAAAGATCTTCAACCATCCTAGAACAAAAAAATAGTAAATGTAATAAAATATCCATTATACTGAAAAAAGGAGGCAGAAACAAAGTAAAAAATTAAGTTTTTCACAGCCACAAATAACAGGACTTGATAAGATACGAAATGAGAAAACATTTATCAAATTTTCTGCCCATTCTTTTTTAATGTAAAAATGCACATACATCCATTAGAATCAGAACCTTCCCTATAACTTGACATAAGCACCCACAGACTTACATTTTCCAATGGCATATTAAAAAATACCTACATGTCTATATCCTCCTCTGCTTTCTTGATGTCCTCCAGTGTGTCTGGGGACAAATCCCACTTCAGTTTCTTGGGGTCTGCAATTCCACTTGCAGGGGCTAGGTCTTCTGGAACATTCTTCCTGGAATTTATGAAATATATAAATGGTAACTTTGTATAAACTGCCACACTTTCCTATCATGTAAAGCCAGGTATGGATAGCACTATGTTGTAATGAATCAGACTGCAAAACAGGAAATTAACACAAAGACACTTACACTCTATTATCCTTTGATGTAGTTAAAAAAATACTCTTAATCATCAAAGTTGACTTACACATAGTCCATAACATGATCCAGCAAGAAAGCGACGGGTGGACCCTCTGCTGCTGCATGTTCATAGTTCAATCCACACGCTCCATCAGAGCCAATAATAAACTGGAAAATTGTGATAAAAGTTAGTAGTGTTTGTGAAAAATTAAAATACTCAATATTGTCAAGTGTAATTATGAATTCAAAATATTTGGTTGTATTCACTTAGGACAAAGACTGACAATATCCAATCTCCTTCTAAAAAGCATATGTCAGAAATACCTGCAATTTTTTCCAAGTAAAAAAATTAGGTCTGACAGCCCACCCTATAATATCTACCTGTAATGTTTTATCGAACCACCTGTTGCCACTGTTCCATTGACTCCCTCCTCCATGTAACATCTGCTTTGCTGACATAGCCTCCCTCCGCCCAGGTTCAGTGTGCTCCATAGGCTTATCCAGGCACACTGCAAAAATACTGTGCTGGATCTCTTCAATTGTGGCCTTGTTAGTCTTGTCTTAAATGAACAAACAAAAATTCAATTACACACAGGCATTAATAAAGAGAGAGAGAATCAAGTTTCAAACAGTTACAGTATACTCCGAATATTTCGCACATTTCGGGGCAAACAAATTTGTTGGAATGCTTTAGTTTCAGCATATTCCAGGAGAAAATATACATTCTACAAGATTTGTTTTATTATGTTCACATACTGGCTTAAATTCAATATGCTGGAATTTGATCTAATTTTAAGTAGAGGCTTTTTATTTCTGTTTTTAAACCAGCAGTCATCAAAGTTAATATTAAAAGGAGAAACAATTCAGAGTCTTTGAAACAGCACAAAACCATATTGTTCAGAAATGAATACCTACTTTTAATCAACCTCTTGAAAGCAGATCCCCAAGTATTCCTGTTCTCTGTGGTGAGAATTCCAACATGAGGGGTGGGATGTTCAGATTTATCAACAATTCTCATCAGTTGTTTATGAATTTGGTCCACATTGAGTGGTTTTCCATTTTGGCCATATACATCCAAAGAGAAAAACTGTAAATAGGAACACAATCCATGTTTTACAAATTTTTTACCAAAGCTGTACAATTAAAACATCTCCACATGTCAGTGGCCAGGCATGAAGTTTCAAGAACATGACCAAAGATGTTTTATAAAAAATTTCTCCTCTATTCATCCATCCATGTGATCAAGCTTGAAAGAGTTAATATCTCATAAATACAGTGCAGTTTCCTTGTTTAATATGTGACATTTATGAAGTTTAATCTACATTTACCAATAAAAATTTTATAACACATAGTTAAGAAGACTGATAACTCACGTGATTGTTACGGATGACCACAATATGTCGCGGAGGGTTTGGTGAGTCTGCTGGAAATTGTACCACAGAATCATGCTTCGCTCCTGGTACGCGGCAAGATGAAAGGATTCTGTAATACTGAATCATGCACAAGGGTTGTCCACCTAAGGTTTCTATTGGTAATGTTTGACTGAAGGAAAACAAGATAAAGAGAAAGTGCACATATGTTTATAAATATCTTACAAGTATTTACAATATGAATGAAAGCAAAAAAGGCTCAAAGTTTGTTTTACATTTTGTCATTAGATTATCTTTTACTTCACACCTGTTACGATTCATCATTCTTTATTAATTTTGTGTCTGAAAAAGATAGTTAAACAGATATAACCATTTCAATCACATAAAATTATGTGATTTAATTCTGATTATTGTACCACATAGGGAATGAGATAAATTTTGAACTGTCCAGAAAATTAATATTTTACACTTACTCATCAATCAGCTTCTTAAAGGACAACACACCAGATATCCATTTGGCTGCAAATCTAAAATAACACCAAATACTTCATTATAGTACAAGGTATTTCACATTAAAGTGGACCCTGTTTAAACAGACACTCCTGCTTTAAAACATTCCCTTTCCCAATACCAATAAAACAAAATCCATAGCAGCTGATCTACTTAATAAACAAAATGTGTGTCTTTCTTGTTACAAAACAGGGACAATATTTCATATTGTTTATGACACCAACTAATTTTTTATTGGGTCAAAATGGACTTAAACTTTTAGCCTTTAAGTTTAGAATAATTTTCGTGCTAATTCTTTTGTGAAAAAGGCCCCAGGTGTAAGCTGTAGCAGCTGTGAACACAGCCTGGTCTACCTGAGCTGTCCCTGCTCATCTTGAAAGTCCTGGAAGGGGAACATGATTCCAGGACTGGAATGGATAACAACTGGCATCCGGAATCCAAGATAAGCCACATGAAGCCACCAGTCTGCCAGCTACAACCAAGAATAAAATTTCATATTGTTAGACCTTAATATAGGAAAAAAGCTGCTAAGTCAGTTTAACTTTTGCTTTCATGGTCTAGTTGGAAGGCATATGTAATAGGATATATGTATTGTATGTATATGTATATTCAAATATGTAATAGTATATTGTAGCCTACCTAATATAAGTACCTTATTATAAATAGCTAATGTAATGAATATGTATAGCTGGTGTTAGCGCCCTTTTGGTGTCACATGGGTCATGTGACCCGGGACTATAAAAGTGGTTGGCGCGTAATTCAAAGAGAGATACACCAGTGATCGGCTGTGTAGATAGTACGAATAAAGGTTTTTCTAAAAGGACAATACATTTGTTGTCGTGCCTCGGTTACACATATATTATGATGACAAATGCTGTACATACCCAATTGTCTGTAGTTTCTGCCTTTTTTAGGAGCATCTCTTGTAGTTTTGGACCTGGGTCTTTGGCAAAGTCTGCTACTATCTGAAATGGTGATCACAATTTATAAATGAATACTCATTTCACACAAAAACATAATACCGAATCAGCATTGATTTTCTGTTTATACTTTGTGCAATGTCAAGTTCAGTTTGAAAGATCTAAATTTAATGTATGTTCAACAGATGTAATACAGTTGTTGGCATGTTCTGCACAATGAGCATCAGACTTATAAAACAAAATTTAATTTATTTTTAAACACTTCTCTCCTAGCCACCAAGGTATACTATTATCAAAGCCGTTGAAAAAATTAAGTTTTAAACTTTTGAGCAACTGTTGTAAGAGGGATGCAAATTCTGGTGATTTTTTTTTTTCAACAGTAAAACTGAGAGCTCTCAAACAGGTTGGTAGATAACAATAATTTAGAAAGTGGTTTTTTGACTGGTATAACTTGGTGGTTACAGAGAAATTTCTGAAATTTTCAAGATAATACTTTTCTATCAAGGTCTAGTACACCTTTTATGCCTTTTACATCCCTGTACATACCGTTTGTGTTTGATTATATTCTTCATCACTCAGCAATGGACGTACAGACTTCAGATATTTATCAAGTGTTTGTTCAATAGATGGAACTGGTAACCTTGGCAACTGCTGCTGGATGGAGAACATGCGAGTCCCAGGCAATATTTTTGGCAGGTACCGCCCCAGGATGGGCTGGGCTGCTTTGGGACCTTGTTTTACCTAAAATGAAAATGTGTTTAAAGTCTATAATTTTTATTAAATCTTTTCATTTTTTAATGTCTTAAAGTCTTTAATTTTTTATTAAATATTTGCATGCACACACAGCCGCATGCACATAGCAACATGCAAGACAAATTAAGGTTAAGTTAGCATAATGTAAATATAATTTAATAAGTTACATGTTTTACAGGAAGTAATTTCATTAATTAAAAAAAAAAGTTCTAGTATGGAAATTGTTGAACATATAATACCACTTGATCAAATATAATTAAGTGACATGTTCTGTATTATGACATCTCTAAAAAATATCAAAAAACTGTAAAAAAAAAAAAAAGCTCCTATTACTTGCATACTAGTAATCAGCCCTGCTTGGTTTTAACACAGTGCTGATCAGGGAATTATACAATGAGAGGTCAAGGTTGGGTCACCCTGGATATCAGAGTCACTTTGTCACCCACTTCTGATCATGCTATAAAAACCTCCAAGTTCTGTTACACAGGGTGAAGCTGTGTCAGAATATGGGAACAAACTTTTTTATGTGCAACTTGATCAGAGATGCTAGTCACGTATTTGCCATGTATATAACTTGTATGGCAGCACATATATAGTCTGTCTGCGTGTCAAGCCATATATAGTTATCATCATTATAGTCAGGATATCAGAGTTGTTTATCACTTAAAACAAAGCATGACAGCTGGAGGTGATCAAAGGGAAAAAAGCTCTTCTGTTCTATTATCTTTTAAAACAGAGAGGAAAAAGGAATGCGTTGGCCCGTAAAGCAGCAATGAATCGGCTTTCTAGGGAGATAATGTCAAAAGAAGATATTCACGGAGAATTATCATCATTATATTCAGGATATGAAAATTGTAGTCTTTCCATTGCTGCATTGTTTTTCTCATCCTTGACCTTAAAGACTTTGTTCAATTCCTCTTATTCATTACAAGTAAGTCCACTGCCTAGCACATACTGCAATTATATTATATCCAGTTTTCTTAATCCAAATGTGTATGTCACTGATAAAGGTAACATAAGATGGAAAAACCAACTATACATTGAAAAATACCATTGCAAATCTTATTAATTGTTTCCTTAACACATATTATAGTTCAGATGTATATTTCCCTATTCCACCCTCTAGCCTCTCCTATATTTTTCATTGTTTGATAACAAAATGATCAAAGTTGTTGTACTTAAAGGGATAATAACTGTTCGTTTGGCCAAAAAATGAATTTTCCCAGAGTGAACAACAACTTTCCCATACTTAACGAAACCATTTCTACATTCAAAGTTAGTCCCTGGTTTTTTTTCTAAAAAGTTTGGTATTATGTTATAATCTCTTAAGAGATTATAATAGAGTATAGCCATCTACGGAGGTCACATGGTCTGATGACAAACTCAGATGTCAGAATAATAACTAAAACTGCCATTTTTGTGGTAAAACAGAATATATCATAATATATTTATAACTACAAGTTGTTTACAATGTTTTTATTGTGAAACATACATCTCATAGGAAGAGTTATTATCCCTTTAACTTCCACCCTTGTGTCCTACCTTTTAACCTCAAGTGACAAAGTTTATGATTTTTTTAAATCACATTTTTAATACATTTATCCCTTGAAAATTTGAAGTATCAGTTTTTTTTTCTTTTTTTCACAAGAAAATTCTTCACTGCATCATCATCACAGTGAAGCCCAGGATCCTTTGATGCATATGAGTGATTAAAAGCATGCAGCTGTACTGTAAGTCATATGTACATTTCAATCATAAATTCAATATAACATTTGCCGGTAACCCACATCTTTCTAATCATTTAATTATACATCTACTAATACATCTAATTATAATTACCTGCTAATAAGTTTTCTTTGATTTTATGCACAATGAGATATTTTCAACTGCAGTAAAATGTTCATAAGAAAAATGTCTTTTTCTCTTTTCTGAAATTTATATTAAGTTTGATAAGATTTTTTTATCTGAGGTGAACTTTTATCTACCCTGATTAGCGCTACTCCTACTACTACTAGTTGTGGTTTGTTGTGCCCTCCAAAATATGCATCAGCTGCTCATTTCCCTCAGGCTGAAATGACACAGGCAACTGCCGGTTTTGTTTTGCTCTGACAAAAATAAAATGAAATACACGATGAAAGTCTTGCATACTCACCATTGCTATGCCGAGTCGTTGAAACATGTTCCTGAAATCTGACCTTGTAGCTACTTTTATGTCTAGGGATGAGAGATGATGCTGGAGCAAAGTCCAAAATTTAACCCATTCAACTTTTATGACCTAGTTAGCATGCGCAGTTCCAATAACAATCATGGCGGAAGCCGAAACGAGTAATGCTGGTGAGATCCTTTTATTTTGTTTTAACTGATAAGTAAGCTAGGAATTGTCATTTAAATTTGTCAAGACATTTAAATGACTTATTTTACACATTTGGATTTTATGAAAAAAATGTTTAAGATTCCGCAATTTTGCAAATCGGCCATTTTAGTGATTTGCCCGGCAGGATGTCAATTTCAGTTTCATGCGGTTTGACAATCTCACCAAATATCGTTTGTCCTGTAACCAAAATGTCAACAAATGTGAGTTGGTATCGAGGAATATTTTGCCTATGTCGGTCATATACACATGTGGTACATTTTAGGCGATACGATCTTATAAAGAAGGGTGAATATGTGTGTGTTACTTAGCTTTCCCCAGAGAACCGTCCAGCCGTCATTTGGTTTGGCTGGTTAGGCTTGCTTGAGTTGGATTCCTTCTAAATCTGTCACCAAATTACAGCTTCTCATTCTGGACTCCCTGTGCCCTAAATCCTGGGGAAATGTACTCTTGAGTCCATGGTGGATTGTATGTGTGTTTTGGCAGAGATGAATGTCAGCAGGGAAGTGGTTTGAGGTGAATGTTTACTTTTCCTCCACTCGCTCTTTCTCTCTCTCTCTTTCTCTCTTAACAAAGATATGATTTCATCTTCAAATCCATAAATTTATTCCTTTTAAGTATTGTCACCACCAGGTATGATTGATGTTGCCACACATGAGTTCACTACACCTGTCAGGGAGGTACTGAAACCTGAACAAATGTCGGCATGGGAAAGTTCACAGGTAAAAGAAAGTGTTGTTTATAATTCACAGTTATTTACCAGTAAAACACTAACAGCAATAAAAAAATTTTTTGAGAGAGAGTTTGTAATTTTTTTTAATGACACTTGATTTTTTAAATATTTCAGACATTTTTTCATCAAATTTATCTTATGGTCACCATATATTTGTACACAAGAGTAAGATAATAAAAATATATTATCTTGATTTTGATAGCAAAATTTACAGAATTAATTTAATTTTTTCCTTTTACTCTTTGATTTTCAATTTATAGATGATACATTTAACATTTTCAGGCCTACAGAGATCTTGTTGGGTTTATTATAGCCATGAACGAAGCTGTGAAAAATAAAAGTTTAAATGATGAATGTCATATATCTCAGGTAGGTAGGAGTGTTCAGATTGTGCTAATTAAAATTACTTATGATCTTGTGCTAATTAAAATTACGTATGTGAACTCCATAGATGCTTTATTTAACCAGGGAATTATATCATAAACTTCAGTATAATTCCCTGATTTAACAAAAATACTTATTTAACAGTTGAACATATATATTTCTCTAACACCCCATTTCCATAGATTAGATCGACCTACTCTAGATCGACCTAACTCCCTGGGGGTTCACGCTAAATAGCTGTCAGCCGGGCGGACACGAAAGTTAATTACCCCCTTACAGCTTGTAGTAGGCGGGACGGACATTTAAGTCAGATTATCTGAAAGTAATCTAGTTAGACTCCCAGCAGGGATAGATCGATCTAAAATCTATGGGAATAGAGCCTAAGACTGCTGGTTCAGAATTTCAGTGTATGACTGTAGCAAAATTATCCCACTAACTTCCAGTAAAATCCTCTAAATTAGTTCAGTCACTGATCACTGTTTTTACTTTGAACAAGTAGATTTAAGTTTGTAGATCCTGTTGGTCTGAAGGTTCTTTAGACTAAAATATTTGATACATCCTAGATTTCCATATATTAAACATCAAGGATCTAATAGTGGATATAACACTGGTCTGGTTGCTAACTTCACTTCCTCAAGCCCCCTGTGTTCCTATTGTTTAATACAGTAGTCTCAATTTATTTTCAGCTCACCACAAATCTGTTAGACATGTTAAACACAATATCCTCATGGATAGATGAGATCCCGCCAGTAGATCAACCGCAGAGGTTTGGCAACAAAGCTTTCAAGGATGTATACTCTAGACTACAGGAGGTAAGACTTGTTTCCTTTTATTTATTAATTTTCATTTATTTATCAATAACTGTACTGATTTCACGAATAAAACATTTTTTTGCTTTATATGAAAGCAATCATGGTGAGAATTTTTAGGGTGAAGGTAATAATAAATTAAAGCTGTTCTTATCATGTAGAAATAAAACATTAAAAATATGTTTTTATGAATGGAGGACATTAAAAATTGGCCCTAAGGGCAAACAGATGATTAAAAAAAAGGCTTTAAGGTGGTTGTCCATCTTTAATAAAAAGGAAAACTATTACGTCAATGCAAGGTCAGTCTGGACCTTTTTGTATTACTTTTGATTGGAATATTTTCAGAAAGGTGAATCTATAGTTAAAGCTGCATTAGATGAGCAGTACCAAAGGGCTGCCCCAGAAATTTATATGTATTTGGTGGAAAGTATTGGAAATTCTACCAGAATAGATTATGGATCAGGTATTCCTCTTTCCAGGGTTCTGCCGAGGCCGCGATTCTGCGAGATTCTCGCCAAAAAAATAAAATTCTCGCACAAAAATTACCAAAGATGCGAAAATTCTCGCATACAAACCGAGTGAGGGTGCTATCATTGTTCTTGAGATGATAAAAGACACATTGAGAGTGGCGTCTAAAATTGTTTATCTAAATAATCATCACCGGTATAAATTTCTTCGCATCGTCCGCTGCATTGACTTGTTAACACAGTGTAGCTAAACGTCGTCATATTGCGACGATGTTTCCGATGTACCCTCGTAAAAGATCGTTTCAAGCAGCGTCGTCATTTGTTGTCGTAATATCAATAGTACCTCTTCATGACTACAGTCCAATCGGCAATCCTCGTGTGACTCCGCTGCACTAAAGTTAGTTGAGCGATTGAGCGGCTCTCTCATTTCGCAGGATAGTCAACCAATTATAGACGGCGTGACAGTGAAATTCAGCCTGATGAAGCGGGAAGTCGTATTCTAAGATGGGCTAGAGGATTTTGCCAATAGAGGGCTTCGTGTGAAAACTAGTTATTTTTCATACCACTTGGTGCGCTGTATTCCCATTCACAAAATGATGACGTAGGCATATTAAGGTAGTCCTCTCATANGTCGGTTTTGTTTTGCTCTGACAAAAATAAAATGAAATACACGGTGAAAGTCTTGCATACTCACCATTGCTATGCCGAGTCGTTGAAACATGTTCCTGAAATCTGACCTTGTAGCTACTTTTATGTCTAGGGATGAGAGATGATGCTGGAGCAAAGTCCAAAATTTAACCCATTCAACTTTTATGACCTAGTTAGCATGCGCAGTTCCAATAACAATCATGGCGGAAGCCGAAACGAGTAATGCTGGTGAGATACTTTTATTTTGTTTTAACTGATAAGTAAGCTAGGAATTGTCATTTAAATTTGTCACGACATTTAAATGACTTATTTTACACATTTGGATTTTATGAAAAAATGTTTAAGATTCCGCAATTTTGCAAATCGGCCATTTCAGTGATTTGCCCGGCAGGATGTCAATTTCAGTTTCATGCGGTTTGACAATCTCACCAAATATCGTTTGTCCTGCAACCAAAATGTCAACAAATGTGAGTTGGTATCGAGGAATATTTTGCCTATGTCGGTCATATACACATGTGGTACATTTTAGGCGATACGGTCTTATAAAAAAGGGTGAATATGTGTGTGTTACGTAGCTTTCCCCAGAGAACCGTCCAGCCGTCATTTGGTTTGGCTGGTTAGGCTTGCTTGAGTTGGATTCCTTCTAAATCTGTCACCAAATTACAGCTTCTCATTCTGGACTCCCTGTGCCCTAAATCCTGGGGAAATGTACTCTTGAGTCCATGGTGGGGTGTATGTGTGTTTTGGCAGAGATAAATGTCAGCAGGGAAGTGGTTTGAGGTGAATGTTTACTTTTCCTCCACTCGCTCTTTCTCTCTCTCTCTTTCTCTCTTAACAAAGATATGATTTCATCTTCAAATCCATAAATTTATTCCTTTTAAGTATTGTCAGCACCAGGTATGATTGATGTTGCCACACATGAGTTCACTACACCTGTCAGGGAGGTTCTGAAACCTGAACAAATGCCAGCATGGGAAAGTTCACAGGTAAAAGAAAGTGTTGTTTATAATTCACAGTTATTTACCAGTAAAACACTAACAGCAATAAAAAAAATTTTTGAGAGAGTTTGTAATTTTTTTAATGACACTTGATTTTTTAAATGTTTCAGACATTTTTTCATCAAATTTATCTTATGGTCACCATATATTTGTACACAAGAGTAAGATAATAAAAATATATATTATCTTGATTTTGATAGCTGAATTTACAGAATTAATTTAATTTTTTCCTTTTACTCTTTGATTTTCAATATATAGATGATGCATTTAATATTTCAGGCCTACAGAGATCTTGTTGGGTTTATTATAGCCATGAACGAAGCTGTGAAAAATAAAAGTTTAAATGATGAATGTCATATATCTCAGGTAGGTAGGAGTGTTCAGATTGTGCTAATTAAAATTACGTATGATCTTGTGCTTATTAAAATTACGTATGTGAACTCCATAGATGCTTTATTTAACCAGGGAATTAAATCATAAACTTCAGTTTAATTCCCTGATTTAACAAAAATACTTACTTAACAGTTGAACATATATATTTCTCTAAGACCGCTGGTTCAGAATTTCAGTGTATGACTGTAGCAAAATTATCCCACTAACTTCCAGTAAAATCCTCTAAATTAGTTCAGTCACTGACCACTGTTTTTACTTTGGACAAGTAGATTTTAGTTTGTAGATGCAGTTGGTCTGAAGGTTCTTTAGACTAAAATTTTTGATACATCCTAGATTTCCATATATTAAACATCAAGGATCTAATAGTGGATATAACACTGGTCTGGATGCTAACTTCACTTCCTCAAGCCCCCTGTGTTCCTATTGTTTAATACAGTAGTCTCAATTTATTTTCAGCTCACTACAAATCTGTTAGACATGTTAAACACAATATCCTCATGGATAGATGAGATCCCGCCAGTAGATCAACCGCAGAGGTTTGGCAACAAAGCTTTCAAGGATGTATACTCTAGACTACAGGAGGTAATACTTGTTTCTTTTTATTTATTAATTTTCATTTATTTATCAATAATTGTACTGATTTCATGAATAAAAAATTTTCTTTGCTTTATATGGAAGCAATCACGATGACAATTTTTAGGGTGAAGGTAATAATAGATAAAAGCTGTTCTTATCATGTAGAAATAAAACATTAAAAATATGTTTTTATGAATGGAGAACATTATCTTAAGCAAAATTGGCCCTTAGGGCAAACAGATGATTTAAAAAAAAAGCTTTAAGGTGGTTGTCCATCTTTAATAAAAAGGAAAACTATTACATCAATGCAAGGTCAGTCTGGACCTTTTTGTATTACTTTTGATTGCAATATTTTCAGAAAGGTGAATCTATAGTTAAAGCTGCATTAGATGAGCAGTACCAAAGGGCTGCCCCAGAAATTTATATGTATTTGGTGGAAAGTATTGGGAATTCTACCAGAATAGATTATGGATCAGGTATTCCTCTTTCAGTTATTTATTTATTTTTCTTATTCTTAAATATATCAAAATGATAGTCATTAATGTTTTTTACTTACTAGTATCTGTAATTTGCTAATGGAATAATAAGATTTTGACTCAAACATAAAAAATTAGATGATTTTTCTAACCTTTTATTTCACCTTTGTCAGTGTGAAATAGTGATTGGAGTAAAAATTCAGTTTTAATTGAGATATGATAAGGGACTGTGTGATTTTCAATTCAAATGAGTTCTATAGATTCAGTTTTGTTTTTTAGGTCATGAGTTATCATTTATTGCATTTTTGTGCTGCCTTTTTAAAATTGGTGCCTACACACAAGAGGACTCGGTAGCAGCAGTTAATAAGGTTTTTCAAAGGTGGGTGCCCTAAGATATTTCCTTAGCATTTTTTTATTATTCTGATATATTGTTTGAGCTGTGGGGAAACAGATGAGGAATTTTTTACATGTCACTTAACACCTCCCCCCTCCCCACACACACACAAAGTTTACACATTTTCATCTTCACTTGCTTCCTGTGTAAATGTAATGTCAATTAATTTTCTATTTATTTTCACACAATTACCTTAGGTTGAACTGTGATATAACATTTTTTGTTCCATTTGCTTTAATTTTAAAGAGCTGTTGAATATTCAAAATTAAATCGATGAAAGTGAACTTCAAAAGAAATATTATCCATATTATGCTCTTGGCTCTTAGGTATATAGAAGTGATGAGGAAGATGCAGCAGACATATAACATGGAGCCTGCAGGCAGCCATGGCGTCTGGAGCCTTGATGATTATCAGTTCGTACCTTTTCTCTGGGGAAGCTCACAGTTACTAGGTAATTCTAACCTGTTTTGCCATTTTTTCTCCACTTGCTAAATTTCTTAGAAAATTGATGAATTAATTGTATTCCCAGACCACTGTTTTAATTAAAGAAAAAAAAAAAAAAAAACGCCTAAAAAAGTGATTGAAGTGTACTAAAAAGTATTTGGGTTTTATGTCAGAAAATAATTTTTTGTGAATTAAACTGAATAGATTTATAATTGAAGTTTCAGAATAACATTCTCTTTTTCTTTTTCCAGATCACAAAAGAATTCACCCCAAGTCTTTCCCAAAGCCAGAAGTATATGAATATTTTGCTAAGGACTACATGTTTTTAGGTTGTGTAAAGTTTATAAACCAGGTATTTTTTCAAATATTCCTTGCATTAATTCTTTTATTAATTCATTCATTAATTTTATCCTAGTGTCATGTGTATGTAAAACACCCAGCACTTTGTGATTTTCATGTACAAGTTTGTTGTTCAAAACTTAACCAGTTGCCTCAATGTCTTTTTCATAACATTTTCCAAATTACCAGTGCTATTACTCCCAAGTCCAACCTCACTGCAGTGTAGAATTCAAAGAGCACATTCAGAACGAGTTGGACTAACTTAATATGGCAGACCCACTTGAAAGAAAGGACGACTTAGGGTGTATTCCCAGAGATTTAGATCGATCCAGTGATTAAGATTTAGATCGACCTAACTGCCTGGGGGTTCACGCTAAATTGCAGTCAGCCGAGCGCGCACCATAGTTAATTATCTCCTTACAGCTTTCAGTAGGCGGGACAGACGCTTAAGCCGGCTAAGCTGACAGTAATCTAGTGAGACTCCCCACAGGGATAGATCGATCTAAAATCTATGGAAATGGGGTCTTATACTCTTATGGTCTCCCCAGCTCCCCACTCCACAATTAAAGGGATTAAATCTCGGCTTCCAGGTTTAATTACAAGGCTCCTGCAGGGATGGCATATTTGGTCTGAGGATCTGTTAGGATCATCTGTTCTGAATACGTTCAAAGTCTCCCAAAGCCCACAGTTAGGCCACCACTAAACAGAAAAAAAATCCTTATACGATTTATACTTTATATTTGTTTTGTATGCTGACTTAAACATTTTTTCTTCATCTGCATTTTATACTGATGACAACAATACCATTTCAATATTTAAAAGTATTTACATAGTTAATGACTTACAATACTACTTTTTATGAGGGTATATCTAAATAGATAGAAAGCGAACTGTGTAAGGAATCTTGGACGAATCAGGTATTTGTATTTTTCCCACCCAGGTAAAAACGGGTCCGTTTGCTGAGCACTCTAACCAGTTGTGGAACATCAGTGGAGTGCCCCACTGGCATAAAGTGAACTCTGGACTTGTGAAAATGTACAAGGCAGAGGTATGTAAACCAGGACTTGAGTAGAACATGTTCGTAGGCAGGAGAGTCTCAGTGGAATGGGAGGGGGGAGGGGAATAAATCTTACGGGTGGGGAACTAGTCTGCTCTTAGTCATAATTTCGACTACTACGTGCTCTTCCATTTTGCAACTTGGATCAACTGTAAAACGGCGGAGGGGGGGGGGGGGTAAAAAGGTCCACCTTTTCAATAAAAAGTTATCATCTGTGAAATTGCTGCCCACTGGCCTGTAGGACTAGGAAGACTCGAGAAGGATTTACCGGTAGATCTCTGAAGAAATAATCAAAATATAATATTATAATGAAAAGTTATTTTAACCTGGGGCCCACCAAACTGTCTTGGATTTATACTTCATAACTAAAACAAATTTTAAATGTTTTTATATACTGAGAGGTTGGCAAAAAGGACTTCTAAGTGAACTATATCACTGTGAATTAGAAACTAAAAATTTATATAGTAAAAAGAAAATTAAGCAAGTAAAGAAGTTCAGCAATGTTAAAATCCTTATATTTAATTTAGCAATTATTTAAGGAAATAAATATTTACATGAATTGATAGTTGATTTTGAGAGGACAAAATTCAATTATTCTAGGTACTTGCAAAGTTCCCTGTAGTGCAGCACTTCTTATTTGGCTCCATACTGTCCATAAAGCCTGCGTGATGACCACTGGGCAGTTTTAAGACCTGGACAGCTTCACAATTGACCTCATGGACATTGCTAACATACAATGTGAACAAATGCTTTTAAATGAGTTCTAACAGTTACACGGATGAGATTTTTCTGACTGTCCATGGATTTCTGGCCTATTTGGGAGCCAAAAATATCATTGGCCTAGGTAACCCCCTGGAACCCAGGCCATATTTTATGACTTTTCAATAAATAGCAGTCTCACCTCTGTGGTTCCAGTACGAGCACAAGCCACTGAACAGAGGAATTATTAGATCTGAATGTTACATACATACACATTCAGTGTTTATTGATAGTGCTACAGGTATGAAGAATTTTTTTTTGCTCTGTTTAATAATTACATGAAAACTTTCATGGCGAAAGGGAGTCACTGGGATACTCGACACAGGAGATTTATAAATATGCTGGCATATCCCAACCAATACTGCCTTCTGTCAAGAGTTGACTCCCATGTGATACTGCATGTAATAGACAACGAGGAAAAAAGATGAGGTCTGTTTTGAGTGAATGCAATCTGATTGGGGTAATACTTCAACTTAATATATTTGTTTCAGCTTGAGATCTCTGCTTGGGATGATGTATCAGCTTGAGGGCCTTGCTTTGGATTCTAAGTTGACTGTTAATAAGGTTAAATGGAAATTTATTTTGAAATCCTAACCCTTGCATTCATCTACAGGGCCATAAAATGAGACACCAAAGCCGTGGAAAATATTAAGACGTTTCATCAATAGATGGCATACATGCAGTGTTCTTACATCAGTGAAGAAGGCAGATTGTTGAAGCACTAAGAATGTGAGCTCACAGCTTCAAAAACTGGGAACTCTGGATTAGCATTTTGAGAGGAATCTACAAAATAAAACAGTATTTATTATAAACAATCATCATGTGATTTTTTTAATGAATTTTTTTTGAAATTATGCAATTATATTTTTACAGTCTTTGCCAGAAAAGGTTGGATCACTCATGTTCTATTCTATTTTTTTCTTTTTTTCTTTTTCAGTCAGTTTTCACATTGATTTGCTAGAATGGTATTTTTCTAGTCAGAAAATTGAAAGTGAATAGTCTATTTGTGAGGTTTTTTATAAAAATGGTGAAGTGGTAAAACTGGAGAAGGCATCTTTTCGTAAAGTAATACTTTATATATTTTTATTTCTCCTCTGGTAATGGTTAACAAGGCCATGCATCAGGTTGCTTGCTCTTTCATCAGCTCTCCCTTTCTCTCGCTCACACGCACGCACGCACACACGCACACACACATCCGTTTCACTAGACATAATGACCCCCGTCTATAAATAACACGCCGTTGCTAAAAATGAAGCAGGATGTTCGGCTTACCTGGCGCAATTCAAGTAAAACGTGGAGTGATTTAAAACAGAGCGTGCATGCCGTACGCGTGATTGTCAAATAGTTTACAAATGTTCAAAATATGTTTGAAATTCCATAACCATGCGTTTTTGGAGTTGTACTAAATAACATACCCATGGCAAACAGTAGCCTAATGCTGAAATTTTACGACATCTGAGCCTGTTAATGTGAAGCTGGACGTTGTAAGGGGATTTCAAGAGCCTAAACCCGACTGATTTCTAATTAAGTGAGCATATGTTGTATTATTTCGCCTACCTTGCCGTTAATCCTACTGTAAATACATGGGCGGAAGGACAGTGGCTTATTTTCATCACCTATTGTATTAATAAATCACTGACGTGAACGATACTGTTTTGCCGGGGCATGTATTGAAGGCTACTTCATTCGCATTCTCAGACAACTTGGGACGGCTCAACTATCCCAACAGGCCGTTCGGTTCTGTCCTTAAACCTTGAGTAGCCTATGCTATAGAGCTGAGCGAGACTTCCCCCAATCACGGCGTTGGTGTGCTTCCTTGGGCTAGAAATCGTAATCACATACGAAGTTTAGACAGAACCTACTATGTTAAGTCGTTTCAACTTACCTAGAAACGCGTCGAGTGTGGGCCGGGTGCAAATCGGGTTAAATCGTTACTAGTGTTGACGCAAGTCGCCATCGACGTTTTGAACTGCAAGATGCCGAGTAAAGGCGACCTACGCGTCTCTTAAAGACCAGCATTAATGTTTATTGAATCCGTCAGCCGCTCTCTTTCTGTAAATAACATAAACCAAACGTATTTACACCGAAAATAATAGTAGGGCCTACATAAAAATACTTAATGTCAAAATGGTATCAAAATGACAAGCGGAATACAGCCGCCCCACTCTTTCCGCCCCAAAATGTTTAGAAAGGCTCCAAATTTAAACCCAGCAGGCGTTATTTTACAAAGTGTGTTTTCGATTGTATTTAGCTGCGCAGATTTTCTGCGTAGGCTGAAGCCGGCTACTTGTTGTTTGAAAGGTCACTATATGCGAACAACAAGTAATTGATTGATTCTCTATTTTTGTCCAGTATATGAACCCGGTTTTCCAAGGATAAAGCAGTAATTTTTATTCAATCAGCGGCTCATTATCGAACATCGAAATATCGGAGGAAAACAACAATTTCAATGCTTTATCAATGCGATTGTTCATGGTTCCACGGAGCTATATTAGGTACTGATTTTTGTTACCAATTACCACCCCTATTTAATATCGTTAAGAGGTCCACCAACACCCAATGTCCTGTGGACATTCAGCTTGAAGATACTCTTGAAACAAGAGTGAAACAATGCTGTTTCGCATAACTTTCCGTTCCAAAATAGGTGATCAACGTCACTAAAATCGGTAACTAATTTAATACTACATGTAGTTGTTAATTTTGATTAACTTTAAAAAGTAAAATCACTGCTCTATCCTCGGCGCATAACGCTGATAAAATTCTTTTCTAACCCGGTCTACTGAATTTGTTTTTCAGACACTTACAGTAAAAAGGAATTTGACTCATATTTTGTTTTAACTTCGTATGTGATCTGAAATAGGATGGAGTATACGTACCAGTGCCAGTTTTTAGATACGAAAAGTAATATGTTACAAGCTGTCATTCGTGCGAAATTCTCCATGCATGAAACGAATTTTGATCGCGTCTAAATACCGTTCTTTTAATCTTCATATTCAACTTCGCCTCATTTATTAATTCCGCGTGTTATAATTTAATATTTTATCCCAAAAGATATTACGTCTTCTTTAAATATGGTTTGAAATATCTTCTACATAACAGCTTTAAGTCAAATAAAGTTAGATTTAAATTAGGAAAAAGATTACTTTGTTTTACCCTTCACACTTGTCTTTTGATTTAAAGTTACGCGTATACGGCATGAGGCCTATTCAGGTGTAGAGTTTCAAGGAATCAACCAGTTGCGTAAACGAGCATATATGATACCCAGTGTTTGTTGGAAAACCATGTTTTCAAAGTGATTTACATCTTTTCGTCTAGCCATTCCTGCGCCCTTCTTTGTCAGTTCAAAAAGAGTATAGTACTTCGCTAGATGTTAGTTACACACAGAACAATATTCTAGGAACACTCCCAGAACACAAACCGCCAACCGCTTCACAGAGTCGCCGGACATGTACATCGGCGAATTACTTGAAAAAGAAACCTTCCAATAAAAAACAAATATTATTTGCACAACTCCAGCAAAACATGCAAACACATAATAACAACGCCTACTGAGCGTAAGGGTTTCTGTTTACCAACCGGATAGAAATTCTGCCATTCTTGTATTCTCCGGTTGCTGTCTAATGCGTAGGCGGATTTATGGACAAAATCGATAACTAGCGAGCTAACGTGGCTTCATTTTCTAGGAAGACGCTATAGGGGCTGATTGGGGGGGGGGGGCAGCCTACAATAAAAGGACAACAAAACTGCTCAACAAAATGTCTAAACGGGACATAATTCGATCTGGAAGGTATTGACCCGAACAGGATACGAGATCACATTCGGACTTTTCGCATCACATTTAATTGATGTTTGGGGATCAATGTGGAATGAATGCGGTCCATTTTTGGCGTATGACGTCCTTAAAATCGAACTTATTAAGGGCATTGTCAAAAGAGATTAATTTTCTAATTCTACTTCGGATAAGATCGTTACTATTTCATTACACCCATTGTTATTATCCCTAATACAGCCAAGTAAATGACGCACGTACGTATTCAGTTAGGATTTCAAGGACACCAATCAAGTGAAAAATTCTATTTTCTATAACATTTTGAATAATTTATATCGCTAATCCATAAGCGGGTGAGATAATTGCTGCAAAAAGACAAAACTGATAAGATAATTGGATCGTCGCTTCCAAGTGGAATGACTTTCCAAACTACAGCAAAATTTTAAGAATTTTTTTAGTTTATTCTCCGTTTAGAAGATAATCAGTTTCACTCATTTAGTGATGTACCGGGACAGGTTTTGTTTTGTTTGTATTTCATCGACGTTCCTGCGTTTAATTCATTTCTATCTAAAACCTGGAACGCCCAATATACATTTTGTGTCCGAGCCTAAACTTACCCTCAATCAGCGCCGCAGATTAATTTGGTGCACAACAGAGATAAGTGCAATGAATCAACCAGAGACATATCGGTGAAAATCTAGCGAAAAATCATTCTGTGACCCAAGTAGAGGGTATTTAGAACTTTTCACACTCTCTCCCAACAAAGTTGCAGTAGCAATTTTTATGTGCAGCCATGTGAATTTCACGTGCTTATAACATCGGTTCTCTGTGCGGCTCTGCTTCTAAGTATTATCCATTGTTTGCAACAAGAAAACAAAAAGCTTTCCGCACATTGCGAAATAAAACGCTGGAAACCCTGGATGTGGCTTTCATAAGCAGCACTGATGTGCGTGCATCAACGTGAGCTGGCGTTGTTTACAACACGATTATATGACGCGGCTCTCTTCACCGGCGTCTCACCGCAATCAAATATTTCCTAGAATGTCTTTTTGGTTCTTTTCTACTATGGCGTGTTGCAGCTTGTGCAACAGAATTTCAAAAATCAGATCCTTTATAAATAATAGAAAATAAGCAGATCATGATTTGAATGGCTAGAGTGTTAGTGTATTAAAAAAATATAAATAAATAAATAATATAATTTAATAAATTAAATGACCCTTACGCGACCTGTTGCTTGCTGTGACCTTATACCGCAACCACTGGCACTTTTCTAAGAATCTGGTTGTTCTGAGAAAATTAAGTGAGCTGTTTACAGGGGAAATCTGTGGGTGCTTTGATAAAAAAAAAAGAAATTAAGTGGGGAAAAGTACATTCGTGACAATTACCAGCATAATTGCTTCTATTTTATCTCGACTATTATGTAGAAAACTTTTTATAACCAATTTTAAATGAAGATATCATAAAGAGAAAACCATAATGTATTTCTCGAATCCCAGCTGGGTGGATCTTTTTTCTTTGTCTTTGTACGAATTAACCCTGAAGCAAGGCTTTGAATTCTCCCTCATTCACAAAAATAAAAGTATTTATATCTCAAACTTCGTATTTTTCCCGGTATCGTTGTTCACTCCAAGCAGTTAAATCTAAGACAATTACAAATATCTAATTCTAGGAAAATAACAAATACTTAAATCTAGGGCAATTATCACCATCTAGGAATTCCAATTTAGTCTGGATCCTTAGCTCTGATTATAAATCAGATCTGTCGTGGAACGAAGATGCGTCATTCGGGGATAATTGAAATTAACCTCTTTCCAGGAAATCAGTGTTCTTGGACAGCAGGACAGTCGTTTCCAGGAAAGGGTGATTTAATTCTACTGGGAGTGCGCGCGCACTCAAGTAGCGTGGGCTCAAATGAACCCAGGTGTTAGGCCATTCAATCAGGCACTGGTTACACTGGGCAATATCCAGATCGGTTTTTCTCTTTTTATAACACAAAATATATTTCTTGATCACGCCATGTTGTGTTATACGTCCTTTATACAGCATGTGGCAAAGCAATCATCTTCGACTGATTGCAATCGGCAGTCTCAAGCCAAACTACTCTAGGTCTCGCATTGTGAACCAGGATTTATTTTTGGGGTTGAAACTATGTCCTACCTTAGTATCAATGATCTTACTGGAGAAGGCCGTTTGGTGCTCACTTCTTGAAGGAGGACACCTATCGGGAAATTCTCCTTTAGAATGATTGATCGGATCGTGGAGGAAATAGGGATTTCTCGGAGCATCAATTATTTCATCTAGGAGCACTTGACAATATGGTGTGATAGCTCTCACCGAGTTGTTTTACGTGAAGCGCAGGTTAGCGTACATTATTGTACTTATTCTGGGGTAATTGAATGAATATGTGACAGAAAAGATTGACAGATAATGGAAAGAAAAAGCAAACATACAGGCAGACTTTGAAATTAGGGACAGACAGACAGAAAATAGGTATATAAATAAATAAATAAATGAATAAAAAAATAACAGAGTCCAAGTCACAAGTTGTTCGAGAAACGAAAAAAAATGTGTCCTATATGGGACTATCCAACTATGCGTTCTATATATCCAACTTCTTAAACAAAGAGCTGAACACAGCACGATCACCTCTATTGTTCTAGCCTTGCAGGATATTCTGTTTTTTACAGTCAATACAGAAAGAATGAGTAAGTCAATTAACGCATGTCAAACACTCGGATCAAACAAAGCTCTTTGTTCTTGGTTTCTTTTGTTTTGACACGGTGCCCTGATTGTGCGCGAAAACAATTAAGAGATGATTCAGTGTAATTACACCTTAATCCGGTCCATCTGCCGATTTTTTCCAGGTCTTTCTTTTTTTTTTTTTTTATGAATGACGGTTGTAGAAGAAAACTAATTACGGAGATATAGCTACCTTGACATCAACTATCTTCTGCACTACAGGTGCAAATGTTTCCGCTACTAAAATTCTGAATATGTGTGGAGATTTAATGCTTTGTTCTGCTATTGAATAATTTTTCATATAGGGCGTTGTCTTCATAATTTTATCATTTTTTTAAATTGTCAACCTCGACATGAAACGACGGTCTGCAAACAACGATTAGCTTGTCTTTTAATCTTAAACGATGTCAAATGTTACCAATGCGACCGGCGTTCTTTTCTGAAATGAAATTGTTTGGGACTGGAAAGGGAATGAAAAGAGTTGTTACAAATAATATTTAGCACAGGGGGATGCGAGTAAAACATCTAGATTGAGCGTGCCTTGAGCATGGAATTAAGAACACGGCTTCTGAGAAATGAATCTACCTAATACACCGTGCCCGACTGTCTCCGGAACACTGATTAAATAATTACTTCATTAAACAGATGTCATTTTCATACAGCAGCAAAGATAAATTTGTCACCCTGATAAACAGTAAATGCGATGAACGTGATTACATTTGCCGAGTAGTAATAGTTCAACTGTGTTATTAGAAGGGGGAACCATCAGCAGTTGTTGTTACAAGGATACTGAATCTGTTTTATTAATCTTTCTAGTAACAGTATTTTATGCACAGCATTATGTTTCATTAGCTTAGATGAAGTTAGTATGTTTTTAACATGTTTGTATATCAATGCTAGTAGTTAAGGGGGGGGGGCTGAAATGTTTTTTTTTTTTTGTTCATTAAATTAAGATAATTGTTAAAATATTTAAATTGTGCATAAAATATTGCGAAGCCACCAAAATGACCATTCATTTAAGAACACACTCAATCATTATTCTGTTAAAACTAAGATCTAATATACCATTTATTTATCCGTTTATTAGATCTTAGGTTAAAATCATTGAATAGCACGGATTGCTCCAACTTACAATTAAAAATAATTTCTAACAATGATAGTTGTAGGATTATCCTAGTATTAATCGAAGTGATTAAGTAGATAATTCCGAGATCCTGGTGTTAAGAGTGATGATGCACTGAATAATCCTATCATCAACTACGGCGGCACTGATTCTGTATCACTGGAGGCGTGCGGTCGAATGCGATGATGGATCCAAACATCTGTGTTTATAAAACGCGCCATCTACCGAGGTTACTGTTAATCAATTTTGGTACAAGGACATGTTTAAGATGACTGTGACCTAAAAATATAACTACACTACAACCTCTACAGTAACTATATATTTATTTTTATATATTAAGATATATCTGGAAGCGATTTCACTATCTGCTGGCGTTCTTCCGACCACCCAAATTGAGACTTGGTTTTGCAGATGGGGCTGCACAAATGCTGCTGGCATTGAGAGAACTTAATCACTGGTTATTTCGTTTATTTATTTGGTGACATAAACCGAGTGATGCCTTTTTTTCTCTGTTGGATGTATTTTGTCATAATTCTCTTAGTGGAAAATAGAAAACCCTCGTGATGATTTTACCACAGTCTAGACACACAACAAAGAAACCATAGAGGACTCGATCAATTATCTCCAATGATTCACTGGGAAGTCATGTTTTGGTTTCGTATTTGAGGTAAAACATGCCCGATAATATTTTCATAGAGATGTAAAAAGAGATTAAGACAAAGTACATGGTAAGCCACAAGGCCCGTTTACACCAGTCGGTTCACGTCTTGATCGAACCAAAGTGGCACGCCATTGGGACAAATTGATGCACAAGCAAGTTATTGNAACTTTGGTGAAAATTTTTGAAACATGGATTCGATTGGCTTATATAAACTAGGTCAAACTATTTTCGTCAGAGGTAACTTGACACGATGAAGATAGGCTATAGTGAAGAGGTTAGTGGCAAGTTATCTCTGAAGCTCAGGGTGGTTATTGCATGAGTTCGCAACAGCACAGCACGTTAATTCCTAAACCTACTGGTAAGCAGTCTTTTCTTCGAATAAAAAGCTTTATAAATGTGTTACTCGGCACTCAATCGGCTGTATCCGCAGCGTGTAACCCCGGCTAGGGGGAGTTACTGTCGGAATGGGAAGGTTTTACTATTTGTTCTGTGCATCTCATGCTTTATCAACCGACATCATGTCGATGAATAAGATATCTTTTAAAAATCGTGCTACGACCACTGATCCCCCAGGCAGACCTTGTTTACTAAAACTGACGCATTACTATTAGGAAATTTTAAGATCAACAACTCTTTCCTGATGACGCGGTAGCTAAAATTAGACTTCCAGACTGTAACCTTCTTGGCTACTGTTTAAAATGCTATTTTTATGCACCTAGCAAAGTTGATAACAACTTTACCGAAAAGGAAGCACAGCCTAAATATAACCTCATAAAGTGTCTATGTGGGCGACAAAATTAGAGATTGCAACGGGTTGACGCCTCTAATAAGTAAGAAAGCATGCGATAATCCAAACGGTATATCCATATACACACACGCACGCACATTAACATCGGTAAGAGTCACATTGAAACATATGGATCATCGCTGTTTATCAGTTTTAAACATCTTTCATAAAACATGCATATGTTGACACTTGTATATAGAAATGATGAAGAAAAAAAGAAAACGAAAGCTGGTCAAGTAACGGCACGTTTTTCAAAAATGCTGTACATTATACACACATGGTGACAGACCTGTATTACCAGTGTTTTTCACGTTATTATTCTATTTAAAACAACTGATAATCTTAGTTTCCATACGTCACCGGTGTTGTTCACTGGTGAATAATGGATGTCAAGAGGAAAGAATGTGGGTGGGGTGAGGGGGAAGCAAAAAAAAAGTCGAACCGCTAAACTTTGCCCAGCCCCCGTGGATCCATCATTCACCAAGCCCCGCCCCAATATTCTTCAATAAGAATTGAAGAACAAGGGACATGAAATCGAGGGCGTCAGAGTCTTTCCTCGATGAGAGAAAAACAATCACAGAAAAGGATGCGTCCCCTTTGGATACGCCTATGTTGATAACATGATAAAGAACGTCCGCTGGAGGCACTGTTATCGCAACCGGGGGCT